AAGCAGTACCATTAAGTCACACAATTATGTTAATGATGTAAAATATAAAGAAAATGATGGAGAATGCAAAGATAACAGTGGAACATCACCTGATCATGACAGACTACAAGTAAATTTGGTTTATATAAGTCTGTTGTCAAATATGATGGAATGTTTTTCACTATAACCAGAGGGAAGAGTTTTTACATCTCCTGTTTGTAAATGTCATGTGGAAAGTGTACATAGTAACACCCATGGTTTAACACAAAGCCACATGTTTGAAGACAAGACCACATATTTTCATATGCCTGGCATATGGTTTGGTTTCCATACGACTTTTTGAAATACACCTATGATATTGTGTTAACCTTGTCCAGAATCTTGTTGACATACCTTGACATAGCTTTGATCAAGTCTCTATTGAAGTCCATGGAAATACTGTAAATCTCTCCTTTTAATAGCCAAGTCTGTCATAGGAACAGCTTGTTCTTATTATATATGTCATCTATGAACTACGGTTTAAGGTAATAACGATCACCTTAGAGATTTGTGTAAGTCTATCCATGGCATGATGACCTTGTGGATGTTTGTGTCATCTTTCCCCTGTGGCCAGCGGAGTTTTGACTGCCGAAGCTGTCATTGTCAACTATTTGCTGTCAGGTCGTGGAGATATTGACTCAGTGATCACTTTATACACTGTCAATATCCCCTGTTCTGCTCACAGATATAATGTATTATTAAGGTATGTAATCAATGCGATCAGCTCGCTACAGGTCATGCCCTAGTGATCCAGCTTGTCTGTCGGTCATACAGGCTGTTTTACAGTGGTTCCATCACACCAAGTCCCCAACACTGTATTGATTTATATGCTAATATTTTTTATATATTCCCATAAGTAAAATGATTTTGACTGTGTTTGATTCACAAGTCCTTGTCCAGACAGTGTAACATGTAGTATACAGCTCATGTTCAACCCTGTGTGATGGTCCAGAGATGTTCTTCTGATAGTTCATTGGAGAGTAAACTTATATCTTTTCTGAAGACATAAATGTCATGAGGAAAATGGTATCTCTTTCTTATTAAAAATGCAGGAAAGCTGAAGTAGCAAAGGACAAGTTTTATGCGCTTGCGACCCAACCATTTCTATGTCATCTAGGTGTGTGTGAGGGCCATTTGGTTCTTGTTCATGCTGTGTGGAGTATCTGAAGTGCTTAAAGAAGCACTTAGTGTTGGTACTGCCTTATCTGATTCTTGTATTGGCCAAAGTAGGTTTACTTGAGAAGGACTTGAAGTTGAAAAGAGATGCCTTGATGTGTCCTTCACACAAGTGTAGCGTCAAAGAGGCATCGATATAGGTATTCCTTGAGTACTCAAGTAACATTAAACTCAATATGTCTTGGTGGTTTTGAATTAAAGATATATGAAAACGATAACGCAGGTGTTCAGTACAGGTGTGTCAGTGCTGATCAGCAGCTGCAGCTTTATGTCCTGCAGATGAGACAGGTGTGACATGCTCCTGAGAGCCTTATTACCCTGACTTACCTTTGCACGTACAAAGAAATACTCTATGACAAGCTACATGCATAGATGTACACTCTTTGACAAGCCACATGCACAGATCTACACTCTATGACAAGCCACATGCATAGAGCTACGCTCTTTGACAAGCCACATGCATAGAGCTACGCTCATTGACAAGCCACATGCATGGATCTGCACTCTTTGGCAAGCCACATGCATTTGATCTACACTCTTGAACAAGCCACTTGTATGGACCTACGTTCTTTGACAAGCCACATGCATAGATCTACACTCTGTGATAAACCTCACATATAGATTTATCCTCTGTGACAAGCCACATGTCTGGATCTACACTCTGTGACAAGGCACCTGCACAGATGAACGCTCTTTGACAAGACACTTGGGTATGGCTTCACTCTGTGCCATGGCACATGGATAGGTGTTCACTCTGTGATGTGGCACGTATTTTCCCCATATACAGGTGTGAGTCAATATTATCACTATTGATAGCTGATGCTGAAGTAGTGTTGATCATGGGAACTAGAGGGTGTGTACACATGGGCAGGACAGGGTGTATGGTTGCATACCCGGACAGAGCAGGGTGTGGACACTTCTGTAGTCATCATGCTCTGAACATCAGTAGCCATGGTGGACTATTGCCAGGGCATGGTTTGTTAGAACATTCCTTTGTGGAAGATATTGATTAAATTCATGGCAGTAATGTGATGGACATTTTTTTTATTTTTGTACATGTTCAGAGTAGTGTACTGATTTACAGTGAAGACAAAAAATCCTGAAGGAAAAAATCAATTATAAAAGCTTCAAATTTATGAAAATGCTAAAAGTAGCATAAAATCTGCAGTACAGCAGATTAGTATCAATTAACAAAATACAAAGGTTTGCATATGCACCTCTTCTAAACAGTGCAGGTATATTATTTTCCTACCACATGTAATTCCTGGATGACTCTTACAAGCAACGTTTTAAGTATCATGTAATGATTCACAAAGGAGACTCCGCATCCATGAAATGTGAAACAGTAGACTCGTTAATGGCATCTCACCTGTCTCTGGCTCATCACCATCTCAGTGTGAGGCTTGTGTAACATCAACACACCGCCCCTAACACTGAGTGTAGACAAACAGGAGCTCCACAGTTATCTCGTTATCTGACAGCCTCCTACCTAATTCAACAGCCATGTCTCTGAAGCCTTGTCGACTTCTTTGTACGCAGATTGTAGAAACAAATCAGCCAGGTATCACTGTTACCCCACAAGTCAACACCATGTTGATGAACTAGATAAGATAATAAACAAGCACCTGCTAAGGACCTCTTCAGTGTATGAACCTTACTCGTACATACTCTTGTAAAATATGATCAGCCATCGTGTCTCAAAGTTCTATGTCAAATGCTGATAAACAAACTTCTACAAGAGCACTCCAACAGTGCATCGAGCTCATTTGCACACATTATCCTTAGTAGTCAAAGTCAAATACCATTGTGCCAAAATTTTTATGTCAAATTGATAGTTGTCTCGAAGCTTAAGCTTGGTCCCAGCATTTTCGTTATTTAGTCATTCTTTTGCAGTTGTCTCAAACCTCGGATAACGATCAAACTATTTTCGGAGGTGCCTTCAACTTTGACATAACAGTGTTTGACTATAGTTTAGTACAGACAAAGTGTTTCTAAATTACAAATGTTTGGAAATAACCTGAAGTATCCTCATGTATTTAGGCTCTTGAAATTTAGGACAAGGTTTGAAAGGATAAGATTATAGATGTCAGTATTATATTTAATATTTAATCTAATAGTTAACATTTTTGAAAAGTAAAACATCTAAGACATTACAATGTTAAAAGGAATGAATTTCTGGAAACATCAGAAAAATATGTCTTATGTTAACATGTCTCAAAAATATGGTCACAGTCTTATGTAGTCTTTGAAGAAGGGAACAGATATGTCTGATGGTTGGGCTGTTTGATCATTATGTTAAAAAATGTGTCTTTAAAATAACATTCTAGTGGTAGTCAACACATGTGGCCTCACATGCTCATGATTGGATCCATTTTAATGATTCAGCAGTCCAGCTCAAGGGTGAGGGGTTGGAGGTCAGAGGTCAGTAGTTGACCACATGGAATATGACCCAGCTACCCAACACTTCCTCATAAACAGAGAGTAAACATTCTCCTTTTGTCATCTTCCCTTTGAAGTGTAAGGTTAGGTGTTTCATTGGCTGGTAATGACTGTGGTTTGTGCAGTAATGGGAAGATGTTTCACATATTTGGATTCTCCCCATGGAGCAGAAAGTCCATTTGCAACTTAATTGGTCAATACTGCAAAGGGAATGGGAGTAGGAGTAGGGGAGACAGGAGTGAAGACAGGTCAATAGTGTACAACATTCCAATCCTTGATTTGTGGTGCATTTTAATGAGCCATCCACCACTTTGTGTCATGGTTGTTAGGGACGACATGATTCACCAAACTTTGATGCACTTGCTCAAGATATTTTCAAACACTCTACAGATACACACTTACCTGCATCTTATATATGTATATTATATTTCTGTATCCTTTCACATTTTAATCCCATATTGCTTTACAAATGTACCATTTAGAACAGCAATGGTGTAAGGTTTTTGGTCAAAGGGGTCCCACCAATATTTTATTTACCATTTCTACCATTATTTATTTGTGCTATATCTGCACTTTATGCAATATATATTTAGTTGTAAGGCTTACATTCGAGTCTAGTCGTTTTTTCAGTGGTGTTTACTCTTTGTTTTAGGTTTTTCAGTTTTATGAGAGATGAAGTATGGTATTGATTGAAATAAGGCATTCATTTATATCTTCAAACGCGAGCCTAAATTTCAAACCATATTTTGTGATGTTTACGTCTTGCCAAGTATAACAGTTCACAAAATAATGCAGTAAATTAGGTACAGCCACTATTGGGATACATATTTTACTGCTATAGTCGTATCTTGACATCCCTTTTACAACCAATTTTGTTTACATGTGTATATAATAACACATGGCAATATTTGACAAATACACTCGACTCATAATGCAATTGTTTTGACAGTAATTTGCTTCTGTGCCAGCCCAGTATTAGTCATCCTTGGGAATCCCAACAGGCATGTTTTCAGTCCTGTGCTGAATGGCGTTAACTAATTGATGACAGATGTACGGTTAAAAGTTTGATTCGGAGGGTGACTGCTTAAGCAGGAGAATGTGTCATTTGCTAGTTCCTACTAACTGGCATTGCACAAAGAGGGGTTAAAAAGATATGTTCATGAAGCTGTGGCCAATCAACTTCATTTACAGAAAGAACATGTACAATGAAATATATCATGATGATAATAATCACGTTTTTGCTATTGATGTAAACATGTCAAACTGTGAATGTTGTTTCTTTATGGTCGTGGCTGGTTGCAACATGTATTTTATTGTTTTGACTTAATGTAACAAAAATGTTTAAGACATGTAATTTCGTTTTGCAGGAAAACACCTTGTGCCAAAGTAGCCTGACTGCACTGGCTGTCAAATATGCAAAAGAAATCAAAACCCACTTTGCTGATGTATGGGACCGACTGGAAGACCTGTGGAAGGTGGCCCAGGATATCGACAACTTTCAGGTAAATATGCTAAACCAACCTCCATAATTGACATCTTCTTGGTCAATATGCACCCCAATAATTAACAACTTTCGGTAGATATACATCTCCATATTGACGCTATAGTGTAAATCCGAATTACAAGTGGTCTTCAGTAACCCATGCTTGTTTTATGGAGGCTACCAATGGTATCAGGTGAGTGTTTTTGGCATGGTTGATGTATATCCCCTCGTATCCCATTTATGTATCAATGTCATGATGTCAATCACTGGATTGTCTGGTCCAGAATAGATTATTTACAAAACACCGTCATATTGCTGGAAAACTGCTGACTGCAACATTAAACACCAAACAAACATGAATATAATACACCATGTGTGTATATGTTCTCATCAAATGAATGCTTTAGTATCAAGAGTTGTAAAAATACTGAAACCATATGTCACTGTTAGGTAAATGGTGAATTTGCACAATTCTCAAATAGCTACAAAATTGTGGATTTAAGCAATATTCACACACTCACTTTACTGGAGCAAACTGACTGGTAAGCAAGATGTGTCAATAACGATAGATACTCTTTTGTCTTGTTGACTGTCTCCACGATCAATCTATTTATACTGTGATGATGAAGTTAGTCAGTATGTGCATGGCAGCCTACAGGACAGTGATGTGGAGAGTTGGTGTATGGATCATAAAAGTAGAGTTGGTGTATGGATCACTCAGCTCACACCAGTCAGTATATGACAGGTGCCCTGGGACAGTATCTAGGTATAATAGACAAGAAATTAGCACTCATGCTGATAATGATGTATGCCTTGGGCTTTATGAATAGATCTTCCTTATGTGACAATAATGGTCTGACTACTACTAGCGCTGCGATGACATTGCCTGATACATAAACACCAGTCCTTCCCCGTGTCTTTATTACTCTACAGAGACTGGAGGCTGAGTGGATCATGTGTTTGCTGGCCTTCAGTATCTGTGTTTGCTTCTGCCACAGTAACACTTCGTTTTTGAATATATAGTGAGAGAAACAAAGGATCGCAGGAAAATTCAAGCTTTCCTTTATTATTTTCCAGTTGTCATCACCACAGTGCTAGACAAAGCTGGTGATGAAAACTGGAAAATATTAAAGGAACACTTGAATTTTCGTGTGAGCCATTATTTGTTTCTCTCAGTGTATGTAATGTTGATAGAAAGAAATAATTGCTTTCAAATTGAAAAGGAGCCCCAGTGAAATGGGAGATTCAGAACCTGATCCTAAGGAAATCTAGACTTGCTTCAATTTAGGGCTTTAGCATTGCAGATAGGGCAAGGCGGAATGGAAAATAATGCGGTTCAAGGATTGATAGACTAGTACCAAAATATGCAACAGTCAGTGTTGGTGTCCTACGGTCAGTGTTTAAGAGATAATAAACAAGAATGTTATCCCGGGTATGCTTCCTATGTTTACATGTTATTATTCAACTGAAAGAATATTGTCACTTATTTTCTTTAGAGAGAGATACCTTTTTTCTTGTTGTGTGACAAACCTGGACCTTTTTGAACTAATGGGCATATTTTCTGTTTGACACACCCACTAAACAATTTGACTGGCTCCAGCCTCATTGAATGAATATTGGTGTTCTCACATTACCGTTGTGTGAAATATCGGGCCATTTACCAACCCCAGGTAATTGGTGTTGTCAATGGTAAGTGTGGTGCCTATTGTCAACAGGAATGACCTGCAACAGCTTTGCATCGCAAGGAACCACTGGAAGTGTAATTTGGATCATAATGTGCCCTTTACATGCAAACAGGATCAAGTTCCCTGATATCAATGATGATTGGGGCCTCTGGTTCCGATTGGTGGAAGATCTGACTGGAGAGGGTAGGAGTATAAGAGACTTGTCACAGAGCCTGTAACATGTCACAGCACCATTGATCTTGATGTTGTCCGGAGGTCATGTTTCTCAACAGGGGACTGGAAGAGAGGCCTATCTCATTGATATCCTGTCCATCAGCTTATTGGACTTTTGATTTATTACTCTGGCTGAGATGAATATCTTCTTCTTTTCATGGGATAGTCCATGGGTAGCTACAGGACTCACAGAAAGAAATTGTTTCATAATCAATATTTATTATATACAGTATTCTTTCATAAGATGAAAGTCTTCCATGGGGTTTGGTTATATTTGTGTTCTACAATCATTATTTCAATGGCAGTTGTTGCCTCCCTGATCGCAAACTCAGATTAGCCTTAGAACTGACCCCTAGAGAACAGAGACATCCCAGAATAATCTCTTCAAGGGATCTCTATAAAGAGTCTCCAGAATAGGCCCCAAGAAAAGATCCTTATAAAGGTGCCATCAAAGAGCCTCTTGAAAACACTGCAGAATATATCTACATAAAGGGGTAAAGGCCCTACTAATGGCCTCAAACTGATATTCATTAAGGGTTCCATAGACTAATGCTTAGTCTCTGAATAGATATAATTTTGATAGTATAAAACAAACCTATTATAAATTGAAAAGGAACCCCAGGGAGACTAAACCTGAGGAAATCTAGACTTGCTGTATTTAGGGCTTTAGCACTGCAGACAGGGCTTGGCAGTAAGAAAAATAATGTTGTTCAGGGACTGTGAAACAGACTAAGGGTTCCAGTAAAAGCCCCAAAATGGGTCGTGAGTGAGTTCTGGTTTCCTGCTTAACTGAACACAACAGAGGCTGTTGTTTAATGCTCAGTATTTCATCTGTCTCAGTGACATAGACAGGGGTGGAAATAACCCATTGCCCGACTTCCGAGTGTGTTTTTTCTTTCAGGCAAGCAAATTCGTATATCACACTGTACCGGCCTCCAGTTGACTTTACAATGTTGATTATGTTGTTTATTTAAAAAATTCAACAAGAAAACGGCTGGTATAGTGGAAAAATTATCAGGGCAAGTGATTTCACATGTGCCACTGTACCGGAGTACACTAGCAATTTTAATGTTATTTTCACCCCTGTAATAGAGAGTATTGTTCAGGACCAGACAAACCATTGACTGAAAGTCTGAGAAACTCTCCAAGCCATGCAGTCGCTGAGGCTACCAGAACCTGTAAATCTGTGCCCCTTGACAGTTGTCCCAAGAAGCAAGAGGTACTGGGTTCCTTCCTGATCCAGACTCCTTAAGGAGTGGACCCCAAAACACCCAGACATTGGCTTGTCTTAATTCTTTCACTCACTACCACCCATGGTGATAAGTTGGTCATAGAGTGAACTGTGAAAATGGCTGTAACTCTTTAATGGCTGTTGTTGAAGGGTTTTAGTATTGGTTAAAAACCAAAAACAAACTTAAAATGGTGTTGTAGAAGTTGTACTGGTCACTGTAGGATACATTTTAGGGGCACTGTTGGATAAGTTTTTGTGGTGGTGTGGGAGAAGTTGTCTTGATGTTGTAGGAGTTGTAATGATGTAGTAGAAGTTGTAGTGTTTGCTGTAGGATACGTTGTGGAGGCATTGTTGGATAAGTTTTAGTGGTGGTGTGGGAGAAGTTGTATTGATGTTGTAGAAGTTGTAATGGTGTAGTAGAAGTTGTAGTGTTTGCTGTAGGATACGTTGTGGAGGCATTGTTGGATAAGTTTTAGTGGTGGTGTGGGAGAAGTTGTATTGATGTTGTAGAAGTTGTAATGGTGTAGTAGAAGTTGTAGTGTTTGCTGTAGGATACGTTGTGGAGGCATTGTTGGATAAGTTTTAGTGGTGGTGTGGGAGAAGTTGTATTGATGTTGTAGTAGAAGTTATAGTCATTGCATTACCCTTTCAACTGACAGGTCACCATTCAGGTAACTTAAACTCGGCACACCTGGGTATTTACCTGAGCTCACCTGTCTGCCACACCTGAGTTAAACTGTGGTTACCTTGCTCTCATTGTCAGCAATCCCACTGTTTTCATTATGGATCATTACCATTTATTACAAAATCAGCCAATGTTCATCAGCTGTCAATCAGTCTGTGGAGTGGACTGGAAACTCAAACCTTGCTGTGAAAACAGTATACCTGTTGGACAATAAACATACCTGTGTAGGGACTGAGCCAGGGCATATGTGGGGGCAGCCAAACAATGCATGGGATATAATGATAACAGTGTATACATTCTGTTAATAGGCCTGTTGTGTACATGTGTTGCTCAGGTATGTTACAGGTGCTTTTGTGTGTGCTTTAATTTTGGTTTTAATTAAACATATTTAACATGAATGAATTTGTTGGAGATTAATGGTAGTTGCATCCAAGTGAGATTAACAGAAATGTTGCTAGAGAAACAAATAGTGCCTGGCGTCTTATTCTCTGCCACAGGGGAACATTTACAGTGCAAGATTATTTCCTTTTTTTGGTTTCATCCAGAACAGAAATAACTTATTGGCATTCACAAGAGACACTTTTTTTAATCCTTGAAAAAGAACACACTTAAATGCAATTACATGTCTTTCATGGCATGCGACTTGTTTGTTTCAGAGTGTATGCAGGAGTCCTATGCACAGTATCTATGGTGGATCAAGTCTGTACTGGCTTCTCTCCCCGTGGAGTACCGCCGCCTCTTCCCTCTTGTCCCCCGGTAAGTCCACAATATCTAGTGGGTCTGCCTGTAAGGCTCGTCACAGACCACACCCTGCCCTGCCCATAGGTAAGTCACAATATCTGGTGGGTCAGTCTGTAAGGCTTCTCACAGACCACACCCTGCCCTGCCCATAGGTAAGTCACAATATCTGGTGGGTCAGTCTGTAAGGCTTCTCACAGACCATACCCTGCCCTGCCCATAGGTAAGTCACAATATCTGGTGGGTCAGTCTGTAAGGCTTCTCACAGACCACACCCTGCCCTGCCTATAGGTAAGTCACAATATCTGGTGGGTCAGTCTGTAAGGCTTCTCACAGACCACACCCTGCCCTGCCCATAGGCAAGTCACAATATCTGGTGGGTCAGTCTGTAAGGCTTCTCACAGACCACACCCTGCCCTGCCCATAGGCAAGTCACAATATCTGTGGTGAGTCAGTCTGTAAGGCTTCTCACAGACCACACCCCACCCTGCCCATAGGTAAGTCACAATATCTGGTGGGTCAGTCTGTAAGGCTTCTCACAGACCACACCCTGCCCTGCCCATAGGTAAGTCACAATATCTGGTGGGTCAGTCTGTAAGGCTTCTCACAGACCACACCCACCCTGCCCTTAGGCAAGTCACAATATCTGTGGTGAGTCAGTGTATTTGACCTCTCTCATGCCCTCCCAAGACAAATGCTTAGCCTCTGAATATATATAATTTTGATCAATTTCAATTTAAAAGGAGCCCCAGTGAGATATGAGGTTCAGAACCAGAGGAAATCCGAACTTGGTCCATTTTGGAATTTAGCATTGCAGAAAAGGCTTGGCGGAAGGGAAAATAATGCGCTTCAGGGACTGTGACACTGTATCAAGATCCCCAATGTCCAATGGAAGGTTACAGTGATAGGTACATATAGGTGATATGAGTGATATGCACAGCCCCCTTCCTCGGCTGCCCTCCCCCAATGAGTCATATGGCCAGGACACGACCTGTCACACGGCCTGTCCCACCATCAGGATACAACTGTTCTCTAGGGGTCAATTATTTTAGCTCAGCCAACCAAAGGTCCATGTGAGCGTATGTTAGGGTGCATTGTATGTCATAAACATTCAAATTTTCTGCCAGGTCAGCCATTTTGAAAAATGTGATTTTCATGGTCTGTTTGTTATTTGCATGAGCTGGAAATGTTGATCTCAACAGTTCTGTCATAACAACAAATCATTGAAGCCACATGGAATGATATAAATTACCTTAATGCCAGCTTCAGGAAATCAACACCATTGTCCATGTTTTCCTGTGCGATTTGTAACTGAAATACTGTTTAAAGTGGTGTAAAACCAATCTCGCTCACTCACTCAGAAGATACCCAGAAGATATTAACTCATTCACTCCCTCACTGACAGAAAATACCCACACACTCACTCACAGAAGATACCCTCTCACTCCCTCACAGAAGATACCCACTCACTCATTCATTCATTCATTCACTCACTCACTAACAGAAGATACCCACTCACTCACAGAAGAGGCCCACACGGTCTGCTATAATGAGGCTATCTCTAGCATCTTCTGAAAAACAGCAAGCACAGGTGAGCTACATGGCCTTCAGGCTTCAACACACAGAGCTTTCTGTTATGTTGACCCAAGAAGGTACATCACATGATCATGATGCAGGGTCATGCAGTGTGAAAGTGTGATTTAGAGGCTAGCACTGCAGCAGGCTCAAACCAGACACCCAGGGGAAACCATACACTGGTTACAGAGTTGACATGTCTTCAGGGAAAATAAACCAGATAAGAAATGAATCTGTACTGGAATAGCCAGTTTTGCAGCATCAGAGAATGAAGGCAACACATTCGAGGAAGACAAGTAGAGGTTTTATTGACATAATGGGGAGATGAGAAAGAAAAACGATGCATTATAAAAAGGCTAGTTAAGTGGTTATGGTATGGACACTGCGATAAGAGAATGAATAATACAATGAATATGAGACAGCTTATATATGGGATGTATTCAATGTGGCTTTCGTATCAGATGGAGACAATCCAGATGTGTTTGATCTTGAAACTGGCCCCATATTTCTCACATTAGATGCCATCAACAGCAGAAAGTTAGTGATTGGTGGGCAAGAAGCACTATAGTCCCCTCTTGTATCTTTTACCTGAGTCATGGCTAACAATGTAACCAGGTATGAAGCCACCTGAGTCGTGGTTAACAATGTAATGGTACACCACCTGAGTAACAAACAATGCCACCTGAGTCATGGCCAACAATGTAAAAGCCACCCGGTAACAAAGCAAAGCCACCCGAGTCATCATGGTGGAAAGCCAGGTACCAACAATGTATTGTTACACCCAGGTACAAAGCCACCAGCTGGCAGTTAATACAGCCATAAACATCTCATCAGCGTGGTCATAGGTTAACAATGTAACCTGGTACAAAGCCACCCGAGTCATGGTTAACAATGTAACCAGGTGGAAAGCCAGGTACTTGTACCTGTGCCATGTGCAGGCTTGATGTCATGTTCAGTATTGTTACACCCATCCACCCAAGCCAGCAACATGCCCCACATCCTTCCCAGAAAAAGCAGTTCCTTTCTGACGACAGCTGGCAGTTAATACAGCCATAAACATCTCATCAGCGGTGGTCGAATAGCCTAATGGTTATAGTTCATGCCCAGTTCAGTTCTCCATTACTAGACACCCTCTTTGTGATGTTGCCAGAATATTGTTGTAATCTGAGTGTGCACCCACACGCATGCACACACACACACACACACACTCCCTCTCTCACTCACTCACACACTCACACTCACTTTGATCTTCCAGTCGTGCAGGCCATTGCACAAAAGTACATATATTTTGCCTTGATAAAAGACACTGTTGATAGTACAATACACATTCGATGTTAAGGCACTCAAGCAGAGTGTAAAGTTGATTTGAGTTTATTAATGAATTTGAAAACCTTGGCATCAGACTTCTTGCACATCCATACCATTTTCTCCCTTGTATTTTCTTTGTATCACTGTGTATTGATACATGATATTTTTATGTTAAAATTTCGCATCATTGCTCTGCATACAATACTTGTATCATGAAACAGTGATGTTTGATCCATGAAACGATCAGGAAGTTGCACCTTTCTATAAAGCCCCACCTGCACTGTATGTTTCGAATTCCTCATGAGATTGTGCACACAGGAATGTAATGTTTTGCTGCTCAATCTGTTATTACGATTAAAACGGTGTTATGTAATCAACCTATGATGCAATTAACCTTTTCCCATTTTGTTCATTTAAAACTAAAACTTGATTGTAAACCATTCGCAGCTGTTTCAGGTCTTTTACCTGAGTCACAACTGTCTCTTGTTTGGTTAGTTTCTTTATTATTTTGTTACACTGCAATATTAGCTGGTAAATGTTGTTTTGTTTTTCTAGCTCAATTGACAGTGACAAGGCTTTGACTTTTCTCTCTTTAGACTTACACTTAAATGTTGATTCTAATTTAACAAATTCTTTTCCTTCTCACTTGAAATGTCAGGAAAACAAACTACCAACAGTTTATTGGTTCATCCCAGCAATCAGTGTTGTTCTTGTAGTAATGCCAAAACTGACAACAGCCCTAAAGTTGCACTGGTGTTTCCAAGATGAACGTGTACACTTGAAGGTAAACATGCTAATTTCCCAGTGTTAGGTTTCGCTCTCTGTTAGATTGGCTTACAGGAAACTTTGTAGTGGTTCCAAACAAAATTAAACTGCAACAAACACACCTTTCCTGTTTGAATCTGAGAAACACTTTCACACCATCAGATGTTATGGTGCATTCTTGGGGACACACACACACTAGCATTTACAAAGGTAGAAAAAGTGTCACAGGAAATGTCCAGAGAGAGATCTCAAGATGCACTGGTGGACTTGAGTTGGGATGTCTTTTGGGAAGTGGCAGGATATGTTTCATGTGTACACCTCTCCACCTCATTCTGTTGAGTATCTGTTGAAGAAAGTATAAGAAAATGTTTACAAAGTAGTTAGTACTGAAATAGCCTTATCATTTCTGATTTTTTGTTTGTTTTTGAAGCATAGTGCAAACACATTAAAGCCAAGCTGTTTTGTGAAGTCCAACTCAGTGGCCAAGCATGAAACAAGTAATGTTGTGGAAAGGAATATCAGCTATCAAACCAGCTTGAACTTAAATATCTGGCGACTTGAATGAATCTGTCTCAAATGTCACCACTGTGAGCTTGGACTACCACAGGGACCACAACCACTCTTCCTCCCAAACCTCCCCCCAATGTGGTGAGCACCCCTACACTGAGTCATGTACTGTTTCAATTTGTGTTGAAATGTCTTGTTTTCCAGTGACATCAGTAACTGTTCTTGTTGTGTTTCAGCCATCCACCAGCCATGTTGACAGAATGCCGGAGCTCCCCATCTCGCCATATGGGTACAGGTAATACCTTCTCCATGCACAGTTTGACACCCTCACACCTTAACACTCTGCACCTACAACATCACTGTAGCTGTAATTTAGGCACAGGGCCTGGACATTTACCATGCTCATGAAGCTGTAATACCAAATACGGACCATATGGACCAAGGATCATAATTATTGTGTATCTGGGATTCAAACCTGTGGATCCTACCAGCAAAGGGAAGCTACTCTTCATGGGGAGAACAATAGTGTGTTGGTAGTATTCTTGTCATTGTGGTGAGTCGAGCATTGATGCCACGTCCAGTACTTCTACCATTGTTCCACCACCATACTGACATGCTCTGAACAAATGCAGTGACATATCTATAATACAAGCAAGGCATGTAAGTTTATATTGTGGGCTGTTCCTGTAGGAGAACGGTGTATCCATTTGACCTTACTGCACTCCTAAATCTTCAACTTCCTATCCAGAGGCCAGTTTGCTGACATTAACTCATGGTGGAGTGTAAGTCTTTATATTCCAGTTTGATGGAGCAGCACGCTGAGATGAAGTCTGTGCATGCAATATGGCCGTCTGATTAGCATGAACGATGCTGGGTTATCATTAAAACAATGGCAGTTATCAAGTTACAGGATAAGAAATGAGTCCACTAAGGGGACTTCTGATAGTGGGCAGTATTTCTGATTCAAAAGTATTCTCAGTAATAAGTATCCTTGGGGTCCTTGTGATGTCATTCTGACCTTGGGAGGTCATCTTGCTCTGAAAACTCATCATTTCTTCATTATGACAAGGACCTAATAAAGAAAAGCTAATGTTCTTACAAACACAGGATGCGTGAAATATTGTAATATTTGGCTAAAAGCACCCCCAAATATTTAATGTTTTTGTCAATTAAATCTTTTAAAAAAGGATTTAAATATTTGTTGTTAGGGTAAATGATTCCTATTAACTGAATATCAACACTTACTCCACCTTCCTTTCTTTGGGATGAGTATGGAAGTGAAGAATTAATTAGATAGGGCCATTAACAATTCAAATAACAGAAACAAATTGTTCAATAAATTTTCAAGGAAACTCTAACAATTCTTTACTTTGCGTGAATAAATGCACATTAAGGAAGAGCCAAGGACCATGAGCTCCAGACAAACCCATTGAGAGCTGGTTTCTTAAAATTTAAACAAGAATGTTCAGTGGCTTTACAGAGCCTTCAGGGAACAGTCTTTGTCATGTGTTGAAACAGGTAAACAATGCTTGTGCCATATCATTCAAACCAGGGAGTTCCCTTTGCCTCAGTTCCTAGACAGACTCAACACAAAAAGTCCAGCATTAGTTTAGGAGAAAATAAGTCCCAGTGCTCCCTTCAAACCCCTGCTTTACGGTTCTTCCTGAGATTGCTGAATGGTAATCTGGAAGACACAATGGCTGACGCAGGGGTGTGTGTGCTTTCTGGCTCAGCCCTAATAACATTGCTGTCTATCAAACCATTTTGAAACAGAAGAAGTAATACTGTATCTATTGCTGAACCTTTTCTCTATGCATGTGATAAGTTCTGTCCCCTCCCTAAAGTCTTGCTAATTGATTATGATAAACCATGACAGAAGTAATGCAGTGTTAAACTCAAATTCACTCACTCACTCTCTCCACATGTGTCTGTAGTTCAGTCAGTGGACTTAGTCAACACAAGTTTGTAGTTGTGATCCATCTTATCATAGCTGAATTCATATGATCTGGAGAGATTACAGCTATTTATATGCTAATTCAGATGCATCAGCTAAAATTATCCTCCAGAATATTGTTAGGTTCGTGTAATGGACGATCCCTCTTTGAATAACCTTCATTTTAAGACTCTGACACGGTTGAGTCAAACTATCGCCATGACTACTTGATGGAACAAAATGTCATGTAAATTGTGGAAGTGGCATTTTTATGAAAATTGTATTTTCTCGTTCCGTAAGGATTGGATAATGTGGGCACAAGTACTTTATCCACATAAATCATGTTATTTCTTGTGCATCAGACAACACTATTAAGTCTGTTACATATTATGTATAATAATAACTGCTTTGTGTAAAATTAAGGTACTTATTGTATACCTTTCATTTGAAATCACAGAGGATAATAACACAGTTTGTATGATATTGGAACCTTTTGTTGAAACTTAATGAAATTTCATTTTTATGGTTTCAGCCAATAGATTGAGCAGCAAAGAAATATGATCAGTTTCGAATATGTTTAGTTTGGAGTTTTAGTTGTAACAAAGTATCACATATAGAGATAGATAATTTGGTGTCACTATTTCTTGAGCTTTAAATGTGATTAATACTTCATATTCATTAATACCAATATTCCATATTGACCTGGGGCATTGTTCCATCATTAATCATTATGATTTGTGCCCAACGATGTTAATATTATCAGTCAGCAATCAAAAGGATTAAATATGGCTTGGTCATAATTGCAACTTTTGTTTTGGGTGAAAATATTTTAAGATTCATTTTTGATGGTTTTCATGTTATTTTTAGTTTTGAGTGCTTTACAGCCATTAAGATAATGGTGACCATGATGAAGATCAGTGTAGTATTTAATGCCATGACAAGCTAGGGAACACAAGACAACACTGTTATCACTCACCAAATTACTTTTAGAATAGATTCCTTAATATCATAGAAAAAGTCTGATTAAATGAGACCTCCCTGGAGCCATCCTCACAAAGTCAGGAATTGAACCAATGCCACCATATTTAATGGCTGATCAGCAGTTTGCAACATCCAGTCTGTCTCCGCACATTCAAGATAATACATGCGATGAGTCGCAGTGTTATGTCAGCTTCCTCTCCCAGCTGAACAGTAGAGCTGCTGCAATGCTTGACAATAGAGACAAAAACGGCTGAGTAGTGATTGTAGCCAAATGGCCATCAAATCATTACAACAACTTCCATTCATTTCTGTGTTGGGAATACATTACGTCACCAAATACCTGTGTTTGTGTCCGACAAACAAAGAAGATAGTTTTTGTTGCTGTAAAGTAAACTTAAGAAAGAAATGTAGTTTCTATGTTTGCATCTAATGTTGGTTCAAATATTACATTTTTTCACAGTTTGGTTAAATATTGACAAACATTAAAGAATTTTCGTTATCTAAAATTTTGATGAAGCTGTGTTTGAAATCAATAAATACAGAAAGGTTCAAGTGTTGACATTTTGCATGTGTGGTTGGCCATTATCCCAGGGAGGAGAACAACATGATATTGTTGACTTAGAGAAGCTTCTGATAGAGGGGACATGTTTACTGATACTTGCCTCTCAACTTGCTTTCATTTCCTGTCAAAGCACCCGTGAAGGTCCGGGTTAAAATGTGCCTTCAGTAACCCATGCTTGTCGTAAGAGGCGACTAACGGGATCGGGTGATAAGGCCCGCTGACTTGTTTGACACATGTCATCGATTCTCAATTGTGCAGATCGATGCTCATGCTGTTGATCACTGGATTGTCTGGTCCAGACTCGATTATTTACAGACCGCTGTATATTACTGAGTTTGGCGTAAAACTAAACTCACTCACTCCTGTTAGAGACCTTAAGTTTTGCTTTTTCTTACCATTAATTCTTCAATTAATTTCTGAATTTCTTTAATTAATTTCTTAATTTATAATGCTGGCAACAGAAATAAATAGCATTCAATATGGAAATGATGTTGAAATATAGTTCAACAGCACACAGGGCAGTGTGACATAAAGCTTCACCCAAGGATCAACCACAGTCACATTATCAAACTCCCTACTACCCAACCTGTATTCCAGTCCCAACTAAATACATTCCTTTGGGTGCTAAAATTTATCACAGTCAATTAACTCTTTGCTTCAAAGATAAAAGAAATCATCATTTTCCCCCAAATGGTTTAGAGTTATGTCCCTTCCCCATGATGATTTGGGCCTGTCTGCCGATATGATATAGTCTGATCAGACATGGAGGTCCATCTGGTCCGGAGCCAGTATCAGCAACATGGTGCTAATTGAATTATTTGGCATGATTTAGATGGTATGATGAGCCACGAGGATGGATCAGTTTGGCTAGGAATATTTCAATTTGCAAGACAGCCATAAGTCAATGCATGGCAGTGAAGTTCGGCTTTCGTTTGTAGCTAAAAGGCACAAACCAGTTGACATGGTCACATCGTTGTCACTTTATTGCCGATTAGTCAGAAATTTCTGTTGCTTCTCAAACCCAAATTTTGTAAGAATGAATTTGGGATCAAACGCTGTTGTTGTATTATGTGATAGCTTGATGGTGAACATCGATGACTCACCAGATTAACATTTAGTCACAAAGTTTACTCAATAAAAATATGTATCAACAAAACATAATAAATCTAAATGGATCCCAGGCCTATAATTCTGAACCAGCTCTTCGTGCTTCAATATTGCTAGAATTGTCAATGGACTGCTAGCACCCGAAAGTGTAAATATAGTGAAAATATTTGCCTCATTGGAGCAGGACAAGTTACACACTCGGGATACCAATGAAATAAGGTTTAGACTTGGACTCTCGACTAGTCTTAATAAATACAAATTTCTCAAGCTGTAAACATGTCCAGGCCCTGCTGTTAAGCCTTGATGATGACGGAAGTGTCACATTCCTGTACAGTGATATTCATTTCAACTTAACACACAACACAATTTAATGTTGGATATGATTTTGTAATTACCATGAAGTGGTTGCTATGACATCTGTAATTCACCCTCCTTCTTGTGTTTCAGTCAGGAGAACTATGTGGCCATCGATGGAGGTAAGTTCATGCTTGCGGTCTTTGTCTTTAATATATCTGTGTTATTGTCAAATAATAGTCTTCTATTGCTTTGTATAGAGAATGACCAAAGTGAACACAATTGCACAAAATCAAGAGCCGACACCAACAGCTTTTCAAACGATATGTATATTTGGCTGTGAGTGTATGAGGTACAATACCAGCTGCTCAACTATCTCCAGTAGGCCAAATCAGTTTTATTGTTTGGTTATGATTTTCTTGTCCAGTTTTGCTAAGACACATCCCCTGAAGCAGTTATAGAGTCCCAAGTGCATTGTAGTTGGGTCTCGGGGGGCAGTGGGGTAGCCTAGTGGTTAAAGCGTTAGCTCGTCACCATGAAGACTTGGGTTCGGTTCCCCACATATGTACGAAGTGTGAAGCCCATTTCTGGTGTCCCCTGCTGTGATATTGCGTGAATATTGCTAAAAGCAGTGTAAAACCGTACTCACTCACTCACTCACTGTATTTGTCTTATATCACACATGAGACAGTCCCTTCAGCTAGCCCTTACCATTGTGAGCTTAGGTCATTCTCAGCCTAAAACTTGACTGCTTTGTTCCTGTTTGAACAGTATATATTTTCATACATCTCTCTGTTGTGAAATTAGTCTGATGACAATAATCCTGACAGTTTTTCTGCTATTTTTCTCTTCGTAATTTTATGACTTTGTAAGAGTTTGCTGAATAGTGTAATGTTTCTTTACATGACTGTCCGTGATGTTTTCACTTTTTGATACACAACCTCCCCAACTCCCCAACACATTACCTTTGTATCATCATCGTCGTCATCATAGTCTTCATCATAATCATCACCATCACCATCATCATCACCATCATCATGCCAGCTCTTACATTAATGACAATGCTGATGGATAACTTCTTTTATTCCACAAGTGCAGGGGCGGCGGGGTATCCTAATGGTTAAAGTGTCTACTCGTCACGCTAAAGACCTGGGTTCAATTCCCCACATGGGTACAATGTGTGGAGACCATTTCTGGTATCCCCTGCCGTGATATTGCTGGAATATTGCTAAAAGCGACGTAAAACCATATTCACTCTCTCAGTCTGCCAATATAATGTTAGACAATGTAGTATCTTCCCAGTGAGAGTCAATCATAGTCATTTTAGCACATGTTTCTCCTTCATGCAGTCAATCATTGACATTCCAGCTCCCTGTGTTCCATCAGTCATCCCTGAAGAATTACCCCTATGTTGTATCTTGTAAAAGTGTTGCCAAGTAGTAATAGTACTTAATGGAGACCTTGCTTTTGACATGATGTGGCACTCCAGTGATGTGGAAGGTTGCACATCGACTCATTTACTTGTTCAGGAAAGAGTAGGTAAATCTATGTCCGACTTATAATTGGTTTAAAACCCATTCCCTCACATCCTCCATCATCAAACTATGAAATGGTTGTATTATCTGAAAACTGACGACAGATAGTTCCCATCAGGTATATTCCGTATGGAGTGATACTCACATTAAGGCAGCCATTTCTCAGTCATCGGTGAAAAAGGACCATAAATTTCTGGAACAAATTCAGCTACTAATTGAGGCTTCAATTGTTATGGATCTGTCTAAGTGGAGCCATTATTCCTGAGATTATTCTGATCAACTTCCCCTTTATGTATTGACCAACTTGAGCAGTTTTGTAAGAAAAAGTGGGAAAAAATAAGAAAAATGTGTTTAGGCAGAGATGTATTGTTCAGAAACGGTGACGGAATTGATCACATAGTCGCAGCTCGGATGAAATGCTCCGATCATGGTGACTCATGACATCGGGATTAGTCTCAATTCAGAGGAACTTTTTTAACCAATACAAATAAATTGAACAAGCAGAATAATTCCCTTGTGGGTTATTTGGAGCAGTGATTTGGAAGTCTTAAACTCTTGCCCACCTCTTTGATGGGGAGTAGTAAATTTAGTTCTTGATAATTTCCGTGTCATTTGTAGATTGGAAATATTGATGTCTTAAACCTGTGGGGTTAATGCGTTCTTAGCCCCAGCATGACCACACATGTAGTAAGATCTTTTGCCATTACAATAACTTCCTGAAGGACAAGCATGCCTCTAAATTGTCAGTAATGCAGAATACATTTTCCACACAGTCCAAAAATATAATGATTATTGTAAGGTTTCATCTTCATGTTAAGTGAGAACTATTCTGATACCAAGGTCAATGTATATAAGCAATGGAACGGTAATAGACTAAGATGTAGTCCCAGAAATAAAGTTATCCCTATTTAAAACCAGTGTCTGCTAAGTATTAACCAACATTCAAATAGAGCCTAGAACAATACTTAATTATAGCCAAGGCAATGTAGACTTGCCAACACAGATCTGGGTAGGAGATGGTAATGGTGTCTGATACATGAAGACTGGCCTGTCTTGACCCCAAGGGTATTCATGTTACTCCGTGGTAACCTGGAGCTGCAGCAATAGCTCTCCTGAATGCATCATAGGAGTGATCCATGGGTTCTGTCTCAAACCTTCATCCTGATAGAGACCCCATAAACATATTGGCAGTCCATGCTTATCAGGTCCATTGATTCAATCTGAATCTTGCTACACAGCTCTGTGTTGTCATTTGTCATCTTGAAGCATCAGATCAATCAACAGCCAGGCTCTCACTGTATTCCGGACAGATATGCACTCACTTTGATTGCCTGTCCATCATGTTCCCATCCTCTCTCACCCCATCATCTCTCACCCACCCGCCCACCACTCACATACCCATCAACTCTCACTTCAGCCACCCATAACTTAAAAACCCACCCATCACATACTCATCAACTCTCAGTTCATGTTCTCCACCCATTATGTTTCCATCTCCTCTCACTTACCCATCCACAACTCACATACCCATCAACTCTCACTTCAGCCACCCACCCATCATGTTCCCATCCCCTCTCACTTACCCATCCACAACTCACATACCCATCAACTCTCACTTCAGCCACCCACCCATCATGTTCCCATCCCCTCTCACTTACCAACCCACCACTCACATACCCATCCACAACTCACATACCCACCAACTCTCACTTCAGCCACCCATAACTTAAAAACCCACCCACCACATACCCATCAACTCTCACTTCAGCCACCCACCCATCATGTTCCCATCTATGTTAACTCATACCCATCCACATGCATGTGAACTGCCCATCCACATTCCCTTCCTTCTTGACTACAAATCTTCCCCTGCATGCAGCCTGGCCTTCCATTGTGAAAACCTCCCATATGCCAACCTGTGGAGATAGTCATGTATAAACTCTAGCTGCTTTGTGTGTTGTCATAGCTACTAGACTTCCTTGTATGTTTATCCTACAGGTGTATGTTGTCTGTTTTCTCGAAAAATCATCAGGCCAGGTATTTTTTAAGTTTTTCTTGCACTTTTGTTTGGCATCCTTTTATGACATGCGTACATTGTACTTGCATAATATTCCATGCTAACCATGAGGCCTTTGTTGATTAACCTGAACCCTCGGCTCCCATTCAGAGTTGTACTAACACCATTTTGCATATGTTCACACACAAACTATCACATGCAGGGAATTAGGTAAACATTTTGTTTTAGAGATTATTCATGAAAGACAAAAACAAACCTGTCTACTATTTTGGGTTGTGGTAGACTGAAGTGAAAGCATGAGGATGGGATGTGTGTAGATATATGCAAGAACATGCTCCCAGCCTAGTTTTGTTCCCACTAACTCTCCCTTTCTATTGGTCAGCTTCTGTTGAGCTTCCCCAGGGTTGAAATGAGTGGTTATAAAACCCATAACTCCCTACTTGTCATAACAATATTTACACTGTAAACATAATTAAACATTGTTCCAAATATCTGAACTGAGTGTGTAATGCATATACTGTTGCAGGAAAAATCTTATGTGATAATTTAGTGCGATCATGACTTGTGGATGATATTACCTTGACACATCAATCCAATTTTCAGAAAACTCACTACATTCTCAAAAGACAGTCTCAGTATCAGGAACTTAATTTAATGAGGAAAAGGGGTTTCTAAAAGTGTATCTATGTTTCCACTGCATGCTTGCGTCAAGTTTGTGACATGTAAATTATTCAAAATGCTTCATTAGGTTACCTTGTGTCCTAATTTACAGTTAATAGGTTTTTAACCCCAAAATCAACTGTAGTCTTGTGTATGGCTGATTTCATATGGCAGAAAACAAAGCTTTTTGCCTTGCCCTATCATATATCCTGTGCTACAAGCTTAAGTAGCTGGAAACTACAATTAGTGCATTAACGTTTTACTATCATCAAGATTTCATGATCTTTAAGTGCCTTTAAGTAGTAAACAGTTTCCCATATTGCAAAGCTTAATGCACATGAGGCCAGCTCAGTTTGTGAAATGGACAATTGCATCTTGAAGACAAGAACACAATAGATATTTTTTAGGTGTGTATGTTTTGGTAAAATGTAATAACATCATTTCCAATCATTGAAAAAACAGCTATTATGGAGAAGATAAATATTTACATTGATAAAGTCGACTTTGTCTTATCGCGCCAACATCAAGGTTTGATTCCTCACATTAGTGCAGTGTCCATCCTTCATATGGTTACAATAATGCCATTAAAAGTGTCTGTCTGTTGGTTCACTTTCTCCTTCACTTCCTGTGATGGGACATGTCACTTGTAACTGCTTTCAGTTACAGCAGTAACATACAAATAAACAGTTCATATCATATATACTTGCCATGTAGGTTCTAACATGTCACTGTTACTTGTCAGTTACATAGTGTATATCATATATACTGGCCATGTAGGTTCTAACATGTCACTGTTACTTGTCAGTTACATAGTGTATATCATATATACTGGCCATGTAGGCTCTAACATGTCACTGTTACTTGTCAGTCACTTGTATATCATATATACTGTCAACATGTCACTGTTACTTGTCAGTCACTTAAATAGTGTATATAAGGTATACTGTCCATGTAGGCTGTAATATGTCACTGTTTCTTGTCAGATACAGCCATTATTGCACACACATTATATATTCTATCCATGAAAGCTCTTTCCTTTTCACGTCTCTGTTACATAGCAATTTCAGACATTCACATCAACAGTTGATATCTTGTATAACATTCATGGAAGTACTAACATATTACTATTAGCTATCAATTACGTGCATTATTTAACATAGTGTATGTTCCATCAATGGAAATGCTTAAAATGTCACAAACATTGAAAATGATATCTTGCTCTTAAATTTAGAAAAAAAATCAATATGAAATATGTTATTGGAGCATTAATTTTCATAACAAATTCAGAAATATATTTTAGCAAATGAGTGTGAAGATGACAGACATAGAATAGCCTCCCTTATGTTTCTGAAGTGCTAGTGGTCAATACATATGTTATAAAATAGCCCAGGATTGTTCAGATTGGTGAATCTTGTACTTTCAGATGTACGGGACACTGTGCTGTCGGAGGGCAAGAAATCATCCTCATTGGGCAAATTTTTACGAAATATTGGGATACGTCGGTCAGGAAGAAAGAACTCTTACAAACAACATTCAGGTAAGACTGAATGACATGTATATGACAGGCTGGATGTTGGCTTAAACTGTATCAAAACTGCTAGGGTTACACAGTAAGTAATTTCACACACAAAACACTTGTCTGTGTTTACATTTCTTTTTTTATGTTTATTAAGATTTATGACATGAAAACTAAGGTAGCTAAATCTTTCTGATAACATAATATGTTATAAATGATTCTAATTATCCACATATGACTCTGATAAGCACACTTCTGTCAATCTTGAAACCCGAAGAAACATTATAATCATTCAGTAACTAGGAGAGGGAAATGGTAGCTTGACCGGTTTTACCTTTGAAGAAGTAATTGTGGTGTGTCACAGGGCGATTCCTGCCCATGGAGATCGTCCAAAATATGGCCATGTCTGATCACACAGCAGTTCAGGGTCGTTTACATGTCTCTCTAATGTTGTAAAACCCATAACACCCTACTTGTCATAGTGTATGTGATAACAAACTGCTACATGAATATCAAATCAATGATTATGTTCGTGTCACCTGATCTCTCCCTGTATGTTACTTGTTATCCCCCGTTGCGAGTTGAGCGCGAAGCGGGGGATATAGTATTAGGCTCCGTCCGTACGTACGACTTGGAATATCTTAAGAACCGTTCACTAGATTCTTTTCATATTTGGTACCTACGTTCATCACACTATAAGAAAGGTCCAAGTCTGGTTTGGTGACCTGGACCTTCATTTCAAGGTCACAAGGGGACTTTCACGTTTTACCTGCATGTTAAGCAATCTCAAGAACCGTTCACTGGATTTTCTTCATATTCAATATTAAGCTTTATCTAGGGAAGGCGCAGGGCCCAGTCGATTTTGGTGACCTTCACATAATTTTCAAGGTCATGGCGACACTTTGAAGATTTCAGCATGTAAACCTCCATGTTAAGCTATCTCAAGAACCGTTCCCTGGATGTTCTTCATATTTCACACCAAGCTTCATCCAGGAAAGGCACAGGGCCCAGTCGATTTTTGTGACCTTCACTTAATTTTCAAGGTCACGAAGACACTTTGAAGATTTCAGCATGTTAAATTGCTTGTTAAGATAGTCAGCAAGATATCGCAAAAAATATTCAGTGGATTTTCTTCATATTTGACACCAAGCTTCATCTAGGGAAGGCCCAGGGCCCAGTCAATTTTGGGGACCTTCACATAATTTTTAGGGTCACGACGACACTATGAAGATATCAGAATGTTAACCTGAATTGTCAGCAAGATATTTTAAGAACGGTTCACTGGATTTTCTTCATAGACTTTCAAGACCTCCCTTGAATGTTTTTCAATAAGCAATTTCTTTAGTACTAGTTTTGCATATTTCATACACTATGATATTCATGTCAAGGTCAAAGTCAGTCTTGAAAATATGTGTGTTTGAACAACTAAAGAGCAAGATAATGATTTAGTTGACATTTGACTTCATCTTAAACTTTCATTACTTTATAAGTTTGATTTGATAATTTGCGGCGGGGCATTATGTCACCTTAGTGACAATGCATGTTTTCATTCTGAAAAAAGATTTTCTCAGTAATAATGTGCCAGTATGAGTTCTATTTTAAGTTGCTAAGACCAGGCCATTTCCTTAATTGATTCATGGAGGAACTTACTCCATTTTGCAAAGGCAATATGCTGAGAGTTAAACTTACCGTGAGATCAAGCACTTGCGACGTGTTCTCGGAATTAGTCTTATGTCTTATAACCCAGCTGAAACCAGTTGTATGCAATTTAACACCATTACGATTAGGATGTTCTGACATTGCCACTGCATGCTACAAGTGTCACTACAAGTCGCCGTGACGATGCACCTTAATGGAAGCTGTCTGTTTCAGGGAGCAGGGAGCAGGGCGTAGTGGGAAACTACCCCATGTATTGGGGATTTCAGAGTGAGTGAGGGACTTGTGTAATTTAGAAATAGTGCAGCCATAGTGGCTATAAGGGTGAAATCAAGAAGCCTGCAAAGTACGGCCTCCTTATATTTTATACAATATAATATATACCTTTGATTTTTTTCTGAATAAGATTCATTCCAGGTCTTTCTCCCAGTGTAAATGTAAACCAAATGGCAGAAATATCAGGGCAAATGTAATATTCTAACATCATTCTTAGTGAGGAGTTACCTTTGGTATTTCCATCAAAAACGCACCCTAAATGGTAGTTACCCAATGCATGAACACAATCATAATAAGTGGGTCAAGTTTAGAACCATATCTAGCAGCTGACCTTCTCAGCTCTAGGATTCTTGGTGGAATTTATCAAGAGGGGCAAGTCGGCTGGTTGAGAGGGCAACTTAATGGATCAGTGGTCAGACTCTGGTTGGACAGTGACTTAGGTGATAGCAGGCCATCATGCCTGAGGGATAGGATCCTGATTAAAATATCCATTGTTTGATTGTTTGGTCCAGACTTGATTTTTTAGAGGATATTGATGTATCACTGTAATGTTGCCGTGTTAGGCGTGAAACCACATAAAAAAACATCACCTCTCAGCAGTGTACATTGAAAACAGGATAAAGCTGCATGTCTGTAGGTCCCTAGTGCCGTTCTCTATAACATGGCACTAAACTTCTGACATTCAGTCAGTCACACAAAGAACACTTCAGTCATGCAGGAGGTTTTACTGATAAGATTAGACTATACATGGATGTTAGCTTTGTCCATTTCAGCAAATACCATGGTGTTAGCATGAATATGTATATGTGGGTATATGAAGCAAGCATGTGCTTGAACCTGTTCAATATAGATTTGGAGACTATTGTTCCTTGATACTCCAAGCTGTCTACTTGTTTGTATGGAAATACACTATATTAAGAAATATGCTGATGAAAGGTTGAGGAGAATATTGGCATAACAGCAGCATGGCGATGGCTGGACATCAAGGAGGGGAATACGACCGTAACGCCCACCAACACACACCAGATGGTTTAATGGAGAAACAAGGCATATGATGTATTAATTATCATTCCAGGAGACCTCCTGGCCTCGGATATCACCATGAGCGATGAAGACCGTATTGCCCTGATGGTGATGGTGAAGGAAGGCAAGATCTCTACAGAAACAGCTCTAGAGGTGGTGAGTTGTTATATGCCTGTGTATATGCGGCTTTATTTGCTTCTTTGTGGTACTTTATTGTTAGAATCATACTATAATGTGCTGAAACATCAGTTTCTAGTCTGTTTTCTGTGAAGTGATTTTGTAGCCTTACTGTTCTACCAGCTGAATACCCTATTTTGGGCTTGAGTCTGTACACAGTGGCAGTGTAGCATCAGCTTCTAGTGTAGCCATTATTGCTGGGTTCAGATGATGTGAGACAAAAGATTATATCATCATAACAGGATGTGTAGTAAGATGAATGGAACATTTGAGACCTTGCAAGATGTTCTTGGCCAGGTTCATTGAGAATATTGTGGTTAACAGGAACATGTCTGTTGTGTTAACCTGTTCTTGAGATTCAAACTGCTGTCCAGAAACAATTGATTTGATTACAAGTTGATACTATACAACAATAACACCATATGTCATTTTATTGTGAAGCTAACATATTGCCCTACTTTGAGCTCAACCATATGATGCTATAGATGATGTAAGTGGAATTGAGGATTAATCACTTCTCCAACTAACGACCACCTTCCTCTTGCCGCTGCTTTAATATGCTTCCGCAACTTAACCTTTGATATAGCAGTAACATATACGGTCATGGGACATAGATGTCTTGTAATGTACTCGGTCTTTGGACTTGGTTGATACAAGGTGACTAGGGACAAACAATAGTTCAGGCCATGTGCTTATAGCTCTTGACAAAGGATGTTCAGTGTTGCCACAATGGACATAATGTACTGGGATGTTTAGTGTTGACACTAAGGATATGGTGTACTGGGATGTTCAGTGTTGACACAATGGACATAATGTACTGAGATGTTTAGTGTTGACACTAAGGATATGGTGTACTGTGATGTTCAGTGTTGACACAATGGACATAATGTACTTAGATGTTTAGTGTTGACACTAAGGATATGGTGTACTGGGATGTTCAGTGTTGACACTAAGGATATGGTGTACCGTGGGATGTTTAGTGTTGACACTAAGGATATGGTGTACTGGGACGTTTAGTGTTGACACTAAGGATATGGTGTACTGGGGCATTTACTGTTGACACTGAGGATATGGTGTACTGGGATGTTTAGTCTTGACACTAAGGATATGGTGTACTGGGGCATTTAGTGTTGACACTAAGGATATGGTGTACTGGGATGTTTAGTGTTGACACTAAGGATATGGTGTACTGGGACGTTTAGTGTTGACACTAAGGATATGGTGTACTGGGATGTTTTGCGTTCACACTAATGGCAGTGAGTCTTGGACAAATTTCTATACAGACTAGTTTTATTACATCCTTCGAGCAACTCTATGTGTTGGGTGTTTAGTGACCTGTGTATTGTTGTGTGTACCACCGCAGACCTACAAATTGTTGTGTATGGTACTTTGAGGAGAGTTGTACCTTCACTGGATGATTCAGCCGATATATGGATCACATGGACAAACAAAAAACTGAGTTATGTCCTACTTTTATGGATTTTTTTATGCTCAGTTTTTTCTATTCATGTGTCTTGTCTACAAGTTCGCTCTTCAAATATTTTGGAGGCATGATTAATGCATGCCTTATTATTTCAACAGCTGTCTTTAAGTGAGCTATTTAGAACTATTTCTGGACAAGTATTGGCATTTTTGTCTGAAAAATATATGATTTGAATCCTTGCGCCCAACATGATGACCTAAGGCAGTATTTCTCAGTGATCAATGCCACTCTGTATTTGAGCAGGGTGTATGTGTGGTAGGGCTGATCCCATGGCGAGCCAGGGATTACGTTCAAGAATCAAAACTGAATAATGCCCTTTTACATGAGAAATTAACATCAAAGCAAGCAGAGGGAATATTTCAGATTTGGAGCGACAATAGAGTTGATCAATCCAAGACACCACATTAGAGCCTCAGTTCAGTGGATTTACTCCCTACCCGCTCCTTTGTTCCATGCATAAAAACTGAGTTCAAGAAAAAATTTGAAGACAGCCTTCGTGTTTCTGATTGGCCAAATCAATGAGAGGTCTGGATTTTGTGGCAGTGTGAATTTTCATGGTTTCATGAAAGGTGGCAAATGTATTTATTCAGACGTATTGGTCCTCAAAAGCTACTTAATAACTGAATTCATTCTCCCCAGGGAAGACTGGCTGCAATTGATGTTGGAATTATATTGATGATATGATTCCCAAATGTTTGCCCAGAAAGTTGTTATATGCAGTTCCGATGTTCATGTTCTGTGTGGAACTGTCAGAAAATTAGCATGTGCTATTCTGGGAGCTAATGGATTATTGGATTTATATCTAAAGTAAACTTTCTTAGCGAAAAGGTTTTTTACAATTAGCAGATTCAATAAATCCAGACGCAAGAACTTGCTCAGGAAAGTTGTTTTTAAATATTGGTAATGATTTTCCTGTTTTTCAGATCATGAATGGTATTTATTTCGCATTTCAGGAATTTGGGTGGGTTCAAGTTGTTTTCACCATAGATTATTTGATGTAGGAAGGAGGTTCTTGACAGAACATGCACAGGAAATCTGGTATAATTAATGTTGTACAAATACCTCCATTTGTCACGTGCTGTAATGTTTGAAAAAATTCAAGTTATACACAGTTGTTGAATGTTCAGCATCTGGAAATATTTCTGAAATTATTCTGTGCTAATGGATACTACTTTTGAGCTTTGAAGACAGACATCAGAACTTCCCCACAGATCCCCTTAGAGACAGTTAGTGCTCCAGCCAATCAGTGTGTGCCATTGCTCCAGTAACAACAGCTTCACTTACCATTTCCATCTGGGCTTGGCGCCAATGGTGTATTTGTGCAATGTGACTGTCAACGCCTAGGTGTTTGCATACTCGGGTCTCTGCTGTTCATACAAGGGTGACGCCTCGAATATAGCAGTTGACGTGACAGGGTTCAGGGTTCATCACAGATGCTGGTTACATATCTACTAGAGCAGGTGTAATGTATAGGGAGATGTGGCAGTGAGTGAGTGAGTTTCGATTTACACAGCTTTTGTACAGTATTCCTCTTATATCCTGGCATGTTGACTTAATGTTGGAGGAAAGCCTAAATTGATACTGGTTTCATACAAATGACATTTTGGTAAAACCGGGGAACACAGGTATGATGCTGAGATACTTCATCATGGCCCCCTGGGAGACGCTTCATAAACAGTAGGGTTGTTCTCACCCACCAGTGCAGCTGTGCTGGTACAAGCCGTGGACACAGTGGTTGTCTGTCTTGTTTCCATCTTTCATGGATTCTATACGAAATGATGGATTATCCCTTGGTGAAACATGTGATCAAATAACAAAAGAGATAGGGTTTATTATAAAAGGTTACTCTGTTATGAAAAGAAATAGAACCATGGATTGTTTTTGTCTGGTCATATGAGAAATTCAGAAGCCGTACACAATGATTGATAATATCTGTCATTAAGTATGATATTATCTCTGGCTGTTCAACAAATGCTGTTTTTAGGTCTTGCATCTTGTTTACAATTTTCTGACAGATGCAACTCTCACACAGTATTTTAGATTAAGATTAAAGTTCCAGTAATTTAACCGACCCATGAATTATGAATGAATCATATAATTATGCAACTGATGTGCAGAAAGTTATCCAGTAATACCTCCCTGCCTGCGACTTTCTGCCTCCAACATTTTCTGTTGGCCTCTGTGCCTGTAACCCTGCCCTATTGGCCTGTTTCCCTACACCTATCACTACAGGGCTGTCTGCCTACACCCCTTACTGCAGGGCTGTCTGCCTACACCACTCACTGTAGGTCTGTCTGCCTACACCCCTCACTGCAGGGCTGTCTGCCTACACCACTCACTGTAGGGCTGTCCGCCTACACCCCTCAATGCAGGGTTGTCTGCCTACACCACTCACTGCAGGGTTGTCTGCCTACACCCCTCACTGTAGGGCTGTCCGCCTACACCCCTCACTGTAGGGCTGTCCGCTTCCACACCCTTCAATGCAGGGTTGTCTGCCTACACCACTCACTGTAGGGCTGTCTGCCTACACCCTTCACCCCTCTCAATGCAGGGAGGGCTGTCTGCCTACACCACTCACTGCTGGCCTGTCTGCCTACATCCACCCCTGTCACTGCCTCACCCCCTCACCGTGCCTGCCTACATCCCTCACTGGAGGGCTGTCTGCCTACACCCTCACTGCTGGCCTGTCTGCCTACATCCCTCACTGCTGGCCTGTCTGCCACTCACTACATCCTGCCTCACTGCAGGGCTGTCCTGCTGTCTGCCTACACCCTTCTCACACCCCTCACTGCAGGGCTGTCTGCCTACACCCCTCACTGCAGGCCTCTGTACCTACACCCCTCACTGCAGGGCTGTCTGCCTACACCCCTCACTGCAGGGCTGTCTGCCTACACCCCTCACTACAGGGCTGTCTGCCTACACCCCTCACTACAGGGCTGCCTGCCTACACCCTTTAACACAAGCCTCTGTGCCTACACCCTTCACTGTAGGGCTGTCTGTCTGCACCCCTCACTGCAGGCCTCTGTGCCTACACCACTCACTACAGGGCTGTCTGCCTACACCCCTTACTGTAGGCCTCTGTGCCTACACCACTCACTACAGGGCTGCCTGCCTACACCACTCACTGCAGGGTTGTCTGCCTACACCCCTCAATGCAGGCCTCTGTGCCTACACCACTCACTACAGGGTTGTCTGCCTACACCACTCACTGTAGGCCTCTGTAGGCTGCCTGCCTACACCACTCACTGCAAGGCTGTCTGCCATAAAAACACATGTGCAAGCCAGATCTGTCAACGCACACATTAACCAAAAAGAAAGACTCTTAGAAGCATGTTTGTCATAGACATGTTGTTATTTGTGAAGATTCCATTGCTGCCACCATGTGTTACTAATATGGGGAGTGACAGATCTAATAACAGGCTACCAGCAGCCACAAGCACTTCAACAAAAACTCCCAGATGTTGTTTGTTGCCCAGCTTGTTCACCGCCTACTCAAAGTTCGGTCCATGTCTTCACACTGCTTGTGCAAATCTTTATTTAAAATCTGGTTGTGCACCTTGTCACTGCCAACAGCAATAGAAATATCTTCTTTTCCTGACAACCAGCTCAACTTACATCTTTCTTGGACATTTTGAAGCATTTCCAGCCATTTATCATAACTACTCAAATGTACACAAATGTGTTTCGTTTGTTCTCAGTCATACTATCCATAAGTGTAAATTCATACCCATTTCACAACTATTTGCATTCAATAGTCAGTGGAATCCCAACAACCAGTGTATAACACTGATAGGCCACACCACTGTAGCTCCTGACCCCTACAGGAAACAGACTTGTGACCCCTAAAGACTCTCCCAATAACCAGTGTAGAACACTGATAAGCCACACCTCTGCACACTGTGAATAAACAGGAAACAGACTTGTGACCCCTAAAGACTGTTTCCCAATAACCAAAGTAGAACACTGATAGGCCACACCTCTGCAGCTCCTGACCCCTACAAGAAGCAGACTTGTGACCCCTAAAGACTCTCCCAATAACCAGTGTATAACACTGATAGGCCACACCTCTGCAGCCCCTGACCCCCACAAAAAACAGACTTGTGACCCCTAAAGACTCTCCCAATAACCAGTGTATAACACTGATAGGCCACACCACTGTAGCTCCTACCCTAGTCTGTCTCACAGTCCCTGAACCACATAATTTCCCCTACTGCCAAGCCCTCTCTGCAGTGCTAAAGCCCTAAATAAAGCAAGTCTAGATTTCCTCAGTCTGAATCTCTGGTCTCCTTAGGGCTCCTTTTCAATATAAATGGGCTTGTTTGTTACTATCAAAATTATATATATTCAGAGACTAAGCCTTAGTCTACTCCTACCCCTACAGGAAAGAGACTTGTGACCCCTAAAGACTCTCCCAATAACCAGTGTATAACACTGATAGGCCACACCTCTGCACACTGTGACTAAACAGGAAACAGACTATGACCCCTAAAGACTGTTTCCCAATAACCAGTGTAGAACACTGATAAGCCACACCTCTGCACCCCCTGACTAAACAGGAAACAGACTATGACCCCTAAAGACCCTGTCAAGCTATGGCCCCCTCAAGGTTGTCCCACCATGCAAGAGAGCTGTGACATTCTGAGCTGTCCTCACATGTGGCTGGTATCCAGGACCTGACTTCTGTCAACACCCACATTATGTAACATTTAACAGAACTTCAGGTTACAGGAGATAAAGTTTGGGTGTAATCTGATTCTGGGAAGCTTTGGGTTGCCAGGGATTCTAACACAGAAGCCATGTGATTGTGACACACAAAGTATCAGTGTGTCATGACTCACTGTGGAGACTTAGACACATAAACAACACACATTCCAGGGGGCCACGGTGGCCTTGCTCTCCGAGGCACCACTACTTGGGCTCTGGTGGGATTCCATGATAGAATTACCCTAGGCAACACAGGCTGGGTTAGCCTTGATCCAAAACTCTACTGAATGATAAGTTCAGGGATGTACAGGAATAATTGTTTAAATAGGCCTAGGAATTCAGTCTTTCATAAGGAAAACATGTTTATGAAATCTGGGAATTATGATATAAAAAGATAATTATTTCCTTAGAAACTTATCTAATACATGATGCAAGAGGCAGATCAATGGATCAGGTTATCAAGCTCACTGACTTGGTACATTGATTGTCATCATACCCCAATGGCATATGTTGCTGTTCATACCAATCACCAGATTGTCTGGTGCAGACATTATCATTTACACGCTACTTTCATGTGGCTTGTATATTGTGGTCTTAGCTTTAAAAAATTTGGTACTCAGATATACGTCTATATTTCCCAGGATCTGGTCCTAGTTTACATAAAGTAATGCTAAGGCGATTTCTTTACTAAATATTTCAACATAGACTTTCTCAGCACTGACATTTATTTGTGGAATGACAGCTAGTGATCATGGTTAGCCAGATTGTGTCCCTAAGCTGTGTGACATGTACACTGATTCACCTACAGACATTTCATCCCTGTGCCACCATATGACTGAAATAATGTATTCTCATCATTGTGATGACACTTGAAAATTATATTGAGGGGAATGGCTGGTCATGAATAATCACAGGATGTTGTGGTTCCCATGTCAAATGCATACGGTTGTTTGATACGTAGTACATTACTATTTCATCTTGTTCAAGGTGAAGAGATTTGAAGATGACAAGAGAGCTGATGAAGTGAAGGAAAACCGTCTGGTAGGTTACCTTGTTACCATGGTTACACGACTACAAACCTGGGGGCGAAACGAGCCCCACGAACCCCAGTGTTGGAACATGTGTGTATGAAAATGGGGACTTGATATGGCATGTGTAGTTGATGCATCTGTGACATACCATTGGTGTGCCTGGTTCCGACTCTCATCCCTTGGGCTGCTATAGTGGCTGTCATGTCTCTGAGTGTGGTGGTAAAAAGCAGCACAAAAACAAGCAAGTACACAAACAATCGCACAAATCACAAACAATCGCACAAATCATCAAACTTGGAGCCATAAATTTGATACTGAATCCCTATATGAAGAATTTACCTGATACTTCTGTCAGTCATGGCCAACAATCGATTGTTTTGATAAATCTAACATATGAACAAATATTTGTATCAAGGTACATAATTTTAGTCATTGAAGAGAAAGAAACTTTTAGGAATACAAAATTGACAAAAGCACTGTTTGTCTTAAAATGTGACATTTGATATCACCATTTTCATGGGAGTAGTGTGTCATCTTTGTTTGATAAGTGATCAGGGCCAGCTTATTTTTTCAGTGATTGATTAAAAACCTGTTTTTCAAATGAAATAACTAAACAGTCAAAAGATACCCAAGCTCTTGTACTAGTAAAATAAAACGGTATAGTCAAAGTGTGATTTATTCCATTACCTGAATGGATGGTGCTCTGAAAAGGAAACTGTAAAACACTCTGTAAAATTAGAGATATCGTCTCTCTCTCTGGTAGAATCAATGCTAAAAAAAAAGACTTAAATTATTTTTAGGAAGAAGGTACTATACTTTTTGATAAAATTCAGTTTCTGGTTAACATGTCTCAAACGCATCAAAAGTATCGATTATATTGCTCAGTTCCATCGTTCTTCACAAACAAGTTAGAGAATGCCCACATTTAGAAGCCTGTGTTTCAGTACCCATCAGCCATGAGTGATGTCAACTTATGGTACACGTTTGTCATCTTAATTAACTGTAAACCATTGTGATCATCATTTTACATTGACTTATTTCTACCTGTTACCAAATCTTAACTCACCTTTACAAGTTAATCTAGTTTACCAGGACAGGAAAATAGTAGATTCTATTTTGTAAAATGGACTTTAACTGGTTTTGAAGGTTGAATGTGTAGATCATATACCATTACAGTATCAGAAGAGAGAGCCAGGAATGTCTCATTGGACATCTTTAGACATTTGAAATTATATGAGAACAGATGAAAAATTTGACTCCATGGTAATATCAGCTGTCAGGGCTTCTTGCGTGAGTCATGATAGTTTTAATCTGGTAGTTTAGATTATTCCTGACTTTATTAAATGTACGTTCAATCATGTTCCCCGTGTTGATTCTTGAGTCATCCATTGATCATAGGTTTAGAGATGATCTGCCAAGAGAACTCCTGCAGGCAGCCTACCGGGATCAGGTGTCGCTTCACGCTGCCTGTTGCTCATGCAACAACCAAACACAGTTGTCAGGGGAATGTCCCCTCGCAATCAAAACTGTCAATTATTGCAGGAGACGTGCAGATCAAACATTTCTAATTCCATCTCATTACTCAGTGTAAATGGTGGCCATCTCCATGTTATTCATGCTCCAAATCAGGAAGGATTGGTGTAGAAAGCCATTACAAGCTATTTCACTTGCCATTCACCTTAGGGAGGGCTGTATTTTTTAAGTCATAATGATCAGTTGTCAAGGAAGTATCACAATCAATTTATTATGAATGATTTTGCTGGTTGGTCACTGAGTGAGTTGTTAGGAAAGTGTTGTGGTGAATATGATAGAGCCAATTTAACCCTAATACCAAGGCCTCAGAAAGATAATGTTATTCCAAGGGTCCGGAGGTTAGCCTATTCTCTTCAGGGAATTCCATTCAGTTTTATCTTGATTCGCTGTGAGATTCAGAACTAGATGACAAGTCCCTGTTTGTTTTTGCTGGCCATTATTGGTTTAATTCAGTAATATCTCAGCTGTCAGATTCTATCAACATTTATCTGAAGTTTCCTTTGATCAAAATTTTAGTAATTCTTCTGAATTGATGCAATTGAAGACTTCTTCTTCCTAAAGAAAATTGTTCCTATTGGGAGGTGTGAGACATTTTCATTGATTAATGCAAACTTTATTTAATTCAAGATTCAAGTTAAATATGACATTCTTCACTGCACAGACAGAAACTTGGCTTTCACACAAGGGTCAATAAAACACACATTTATTCAAGAACATAGAATTAGATTATGTGAAATGAAAATTGGAAACAATTTAAGATGGACATTTCTTTACGGGCAGTTCAGTGTTTGGTTTCCTGGTTTGATGTAGTTGGAAAATAAAAAGTAATTTTTTGTGACTATAGATAACAGTGGTTGTCACCGCTGAGATTAAGGCTGCCTGTCCACACCTCAATTCTGACTAGTGGTTTATTTAACGTAACTGGATTTGGGAGAAAACCGGGAGTCCTGTCAGATTTTCACGCATCTCGGAACAACTAAATTGTTAGTCATGACCCTTTTTGTAAGGAAAGTATGAGACATTTTTGCATTAAGACAAGTAACAATGACTGATTTGAAGTAGGATATTCTGTCAGTCACAAAGATGTCCTACTGCCATGACTGTCAGCAGTAGAGCATAGGATAATCCTAGTGCTGTGATTGAGTTAAGCCTGTGTTAGTGCATAAGATAATTCTAGTGCTGTGATTGGCATAAGCCTGTGTTAGTGCATAAGATAATTCTAGTGCTGTGATTGGTATAAGCCTGTGTTAGTGCATAAGATAATTCTAGTGCTGTGATTGGCATAAGCCTGTGTTAGTGCATAAGATAATTCTAGTGCTGTGATTGGTATAAGCCTGTGTTAGTGCATAAGATAATTCTAGTGCTGTGATTGGCATAAGCCTGTGTTAGTGCATAGGATAATCCTAGTGCTGTGATTGGCATAAGCCTGTGTTAGAGCATAAGATAATCCTAGTGCTGTGATTGGTATAAGCCTGTGTTAGAGCATAAGATAATTCTAGTGCTGTGATTGGTATAAGCCTGTGTTAGTGCATAGGATAATTCTAGTGCTGTGATTGGTATAAGCCTGTGTTAGTGCATAAGATAATTCTAGTGCTGTGATTGGCATAAGCCTGTGTTAGTGCATAGGATAATCCTAGTGCTGTGATTGGCATAAGCCTGTGTTAGTGCATAAGATAATTCTAGTGCTGTGATTGGCATAAGCCTGTGTTAGTGCATAGGATAATCCTAGTGCTGTGATTGGCATAAGCCTGTGTTAGAGCATAAGATAATTCTAGTGCTGTGGATTGGCATAAGCCTGTGTTAGTGCATAGGATAATCCTAGTGCTGTGATTGGCATAAGCCTGTGTTATTAGCATAAGATAATTCTAGTGCTGTGTGGATTGGTATAAGCCTCGTGTTATAGTGCATAGGATAATCCTAGTGCTGTGGTTGCTTCTTAAAGGATTCTTAGACGACAACACGAGAGGTTATTGGGACTATCAAATTAGACATGTATTAATGTTTCTTTGGGTATGAGCATGAAATTATTATACTACTCAAACTCTGTAATACAAACTCTACTGTGTCCATGAGTTCCGATAACTCTCCTGCTCAAGGGAGGAAGAAAAGTGAAAATGCTGTGAAAGCTAAAGGTCATAGGGTAAGGATCTGGAAATACTAAACTGTTACACTTCTGATTGCAGCAATAGTATTTTGTGGTTTACTTCACATAGCTGACTGATTGTCGGTGTAGCATGAATGTTCAGCCGTAGCCTGACACAGCTTGGTGAGGGAGTGGGTAGGGTACAAGGCATCTTTGATCAGTAGTTGGTTGTATAACAGAGTGTCAGTTTGATGCAGTGGTTCGAGTCTTGGAGAGTGACACCTGTGGTGGAACCCACACACATGGCTTTGTGCTGACATCCAGAAACAATTAGGGGGAACCAAGATCTAAACCAAGGAACATAGGTTGCTGGCATGCCTAAGGGAGGCAACTCTGCATATCGAATAACTCCACCACATACAGCATTAATTGATGTTTCCAGAGCACATTTCTTCCCCAGCATCCTGCATGTGTGAGTGAGTGGATATTGCTTACTGCCACATCAGCTGTGTACAGAGGGCATGTGGACTTTAGGTGGTCACAGATTCTTTTGAATCTGATTAGTAAATCATTGGATTCATGTACAAGACTTAATTGCTTTACATGTGTCTTGGGGAAGGTAGAATTTTGTTGATGGACATTACTGGTAAACTTTCTCAGAAAAACATTCATAGAGTCAATTGGCTTGCAGAATAGAGGGTTGCAAAGGAATGGAGGCCGTCTTGGAAAGATATGATCGTGTGATTTTCAACAGTTAGAAATGAGTGAGATCATGTGGACCGGAATATGGATTACTCTATACATCAACCAATGGGGTTTCCCTGCTGTTCACTTGTGAACCCTTTGTTTCCAATCTTTGCTTCCTTGTGACCTATATGCCCTTGGTATCTTTTAGCACCAAATATATAAACTCAGCATATTGATGTTTTCTGATGCTCATGTCTGCTTGCTCAAGATTCACATCAGTGATCTGCCCAACATGGCCTTAATGCCTATTGAACAGCATGACATCATGTGTTAAAAATAAGGTAGACTCTTCCCTCAGTTAGGAATGAGACAGATTGCTTTGCAGATGTCCTAGGTTTGCTTTTATTCATGAAACAAATTACAAAAACATCTTTGATAATTGCTTTCCTATGTGAGCGTTTTCCTGAGTTACATTAAGCAGTGTATCATTCACTCATGCAAAGGGAGAAGACAGCAGCCAAGTCATGCCCATAATTCCTTATAGTTTCCATTAGAGATGAAGCTGTCGGGAGAAGAGATTTGGCTGCAGAGGACAAGTCGAGCCGAGCTTCTGAATAGACAAAACACATTTATTTGTTCCCATTCAAACTAGCAATATATCAAATGAAGCTAAAGTTCAAATCCATTATTACTGGAAATAAAATTTCATGTGTTCTATTCTTGGATGTATTCGAGAGTCCTATCTCCTCCAGACGGAATTATTGATACATGTAATCTAAACGCATCTGCATCACATAACTAATGTGACAGAGCTTGAACTTTGTCAGATGGCTGCAAATTGTTTCAATTTGACAATTTTAGATGCTCTTTTGACCTTTCTTGATAACTGTGAATGCAATTTTTATACCTTCAGTGGGTATCACGGAACCATATCATGTTGTGGATTGATATTTTTGTCGAAGCGATTAGTTGCCGGTTCCCAATGTATTTGGAACGTCATTTTGACGTCAACTGCATGTATTGTTGATTAATAACCTGCGTGGGTTTCTCCCTTGGCGGAGCTGCAGACATGGGGCTAGCAGATAGTGATTGAAGCCACAGTTCGTGGAAGTGCTCACACATCCAGTATTATGTGGAGACACTGCTGAGAGCTTTCACGGCCAGCAACGTACTTAGATGGCATGTTCTTGTTACGATGATCGGCTCTGTAACTCCCTCCATATACTTTGAGATTTAGTCTCTGGAGGATATTTTCCTGTTGAAAAAGTTTCTTTTAGGTTATTTTGAGATCAATATGTATAAGCTGGACGGAAGACAGTGTGTTGTTCCTTTTATGTGCAGCCTTCAATGTCTGTTGGGAGTTGGAGTGCAGCTGGTACTAGAACAGATTGCAGCTCAGTTCGAGGTTGCTCAGATGACAGAAATGACTGCTTTGTGTGAATATTACTCTTTGAATGACGACCAAGAAAGGTTGGGTAATTTCTTGCAGTCAGATGTGACCTAACCCAGATCTAGAGTTTGGACCTCACATATGCCCTTGTTGCCAGATGTGACCTTTCCTAGATGTAGAGTTAGGACCTCACACATGCCCTTCTAGTCAGATGTGACCTTACCCAGATGTAGAGTTTGGACCTCACACATGCCCTTGTTGTCAGATGTGACCTAACCCAGATCTAGAGTTTGGACCTCACACATGCCCTTGTTGTCAGATGTGACCTTTCCTAAATGTAACGTTTGGACCTGACACATGCCATTCTAGTCAGATGTGACGGTGGTCTCCAGATCCTGATTAGGGGTTTGAAACTCACACAAACTCTGTATTCAGAGGTTGCCTTGGTTACCTACTTTGATGTTGAGATTTAGCCTTACCCTTACTGATAATAGTATACTTTATACAGGATTTCTTATATTAGGCTTACATATTACTTCTATGTGTCACTCACTCACTCACTCACTCACTGACCCGCCTCCTTTCAAGAATCTTTTTAATGATAGCTTCCTTGAAGTCATTCACATGATTTCTGCAACCTGTCTTATAGGAGGGCAACACAAGAGACTCACAACAACACAGGCCCTGATGCCAGTCATGCTGTAATTTCTGTACCATGTTCTTTGGGAGGTCTGTACATGTAAGGGACCAGCTCCTGTAATGCAGACACTGGTATTACACAGTTTAAGAGAGAATTTTCTCCAATTGGCAGCCAAGGAGTAAAGATATTATTCAAGTAGCAACATAGGTGCCTAATGACTTGGAATAGGCAGCACTCAGACGAGAACGCTTTTGTGAAGAGTCTGCAATTTCCCTTTGAAGTCAGTATTGATTTTCAGCCAGATAAGCTATTTATCAAGGTCTACTCAACCTTCATTATTTGTGGTCCTCTTCTGCTGATGTTGACGTACGGACAGGTGACTCGGGTAGAGCGCACAGTCATGTAGTGATCCGGTGTCCGATGTTCACAGGAACAGCATATAGATATGTAATAGGCAGAATAGCCATGCTTGATCTGTGTTGTATGAAGGCATCAAATGGTGCAAAAATGTAGACATATTTTTTTATTGTTAAATCTTAGATGGATGTTTACTTTGACGTGCTTTCAAGGACATTTGAATTTGTTTTATCTTAGCTAGGGAGTAGTTATTTTTAGTTTTAGAGTATCTGTTTTTTATTCAGTGAAAATTATTTCGTTATGTAGACTGATTCCAGATGGAAGTTGTGTGTATATGTTTGTATGATATCCGATGATCACAATTTGATCATTACTGTGTTTCAGTGGCATCGGAGTGCCAGTTACAGCACAGGGGATGATGGGATATCTTCGGAGAATGACGATCATGATGATGCAGTAAGTATTAACCCACAGCCTTAATGTTGCTGGAATATTATGAAATTCACTAATAAATTGTTCAGTGCTCTCATGTGGATTCCACACCAGAAGGATTATTCATGCTACAGGTACTGGGCTCGAAAGGTTTGTTCTCTTAAAGGAATTATCTTGATGAAAGAAGTGAGTGCAGCTAGAGTAATGAACCTAGGCATGTGCCAATAGAGCTACCCGAGTAGAGTCTGCCGCTGCAGCAGGGGATAGGAGGTGTAAATATGAATGTACTCTGTCTGTATTGGAACGGAGCCTAACGGTGAAAGTGTGATCACGGAAGAAGATCCATTAAATGATGGCGATCTTCTGTCAAGAAGAGAAGATGAGCTGGAGACTGCCGAGGGAGACGAGGGGCAAACATGGTGTAGCAGGCCACTTGTTCTCGGGGGCGCCATATTGATTGCTTCCAAAGTCAATTATACAAATACTTTAGAAAGGACCAATCAATGATGCACGGATTAATGGACAATTGCTCTGTCTGGCTTTTTTTTTGCTTGACTGAACTCTACATGACTTTTTAAGAAAGATGTTCTATGGTTTTGTTATTGGTGGATTATATAGAGAGATCAGAGAACAGACAGTCTCATGTGAACCTGAAGGACATTGACATGTAGGCAACAAATGCAGTTAAAAACTCTTGTTGGGCCCCGAAATGGAAAATGTACAGTGGATGGATTATTGATGTTTGATTACAAAGCCGACTTAGAATGCAGTTTGCTAAAGTTAGTTTTGAAAAGGAACATTTCCCCAGGGAAATGCTGACTGTAGGTTTATTGAATTCATTTACATGAAATTGAGGTTCGACAATTTCGTTTTTAAGTCATGTGAAATAAATGTTGAATATAAGGCAATATTGTCAGTAATTACAGCATTGTTGGTCATGGATATGACATGGAGAAGTGCTCACTTGATCCCTGCATGGTCTCTGTAAACATGATCATGTAATCAGTCTGCTGATTCAGTGCTCATCAACAAGCTTAACAAATGCCAACTCAGCACACTTTCTGCTGCATCAGCAGTTATTCAGCTACACAACCTTTTGATAGGATGTTGCTTTTTGTGAAAGGAATCACCACTAGACCAGCATCTGCTGACATGCAAGGCATTAACCTTGCTCTGTGAGGCCACAATGACACACTGAATAGCAGGTCACAGCTGCAAACTGGTCACTTCTCCAGGGATCACTGATGCAAACACTATCTGTACCTGTAGCCTTTATGGCAAAATGTGAGTGCCAGGCCTTAGAACACTCACAGAGGCATTGTAAATTCACTTCATGGGGAGCTGTTAAAGCATTTGCCCGTCACACTGAAGACCTGGGTTTGGTTCTCCACATGGGTACGAGGAGCAAAGCCCATTTGTGGTGTCCTCCCCGCATCATATTGCTGGAATACTGCAAACAGTGGTAAAAACCCATACTCACTGCAACTCCTACACTTCAACTGGAACGATTATTGTCATAGTGACTTCATCCTCCCAAATTACCCTTGCCTCAGTCTAAGTAAACTTGGGCTCAGTATTATTCGTTACACTGCTATACTGAGTCTAACAAAACCTTGTAGAAGGTCGCGTCAGCTAACCTTTTGGACTGACCAATCAGAACACAGCTTACCAAATCGCGAAAGTTAACATTCGCACATACCGTTTGAACCTTTACCTAAAAAATCGAACGATTCCGACCTATTTTCTGAACGATCGCTTCCGAGTGATACACGCAATGAGTAAACAGTCGCTGAAAATAGCGTTTTTGTCAATATTCACGGATGTCATCTTGCAAAAATATAGTAACCATGTCATTAGAAACCCATAAGCGTATATACTGCAGGTCAAATATCTGTGTTTTAGGCGGATTTTCGTTTATTGGTAGATCAGTGTCAGCAGCCAGGGAAAAGAAAATTCAAAAACTGTTTTGTAAGTCCCGCCGAACTCTAACAGGTAGTCGTTGTCTGATTGGTGAAATCCATTGGCCGTCTCGCGTTTGATTGGACGGTCATAGGTCGCTCAAAGGTTAGCTGACGTGACCTTCTACTAGGTTTTGTTAGACTCAGTATAGCAGTGTAACGAATAATACTGAGCCTAAGTTTACTTAGACTGCCCTTGCCTGTGCATGTCCACTAACAAACTACTAACACAGGGAGCATGTGGTCACATGAAACACTGAACCAACATGTCACCCATGCCCAGCAAGGTGACAATGATTACCTGGCGATTTGATTTGTCCGATTTGGAGAAAGACGTATGACCCAACAGACACGTTATTTAGGAACGAGATCTTAGAGTGGCTTGAGGATCATGTGCACATGGTCAGAAAACACGAGTTTAGAATTCCTTATCATGAAGGTCAAATTAGTATTATTATACATTCATACAAGCTCTGAAGATATTCCTTGTCATGAAGGTCAAATTGGTATTATTATACATTCATACAAGGTCTGAAGATATTCCTTGTCATGAAGGTCAAATTGGTATTATTATACATTCATACAAGGTCTGAAGATATTCCTTGTCATGAAGGTCAAATTGGTATTATTATACATTCATACAAGGTCTGAAGATATTCCTTGTCATGAAGGTCAAATTGGTATTATTATACATTCATACAAGGTCTGAAGATATTCCTTGTCATGAAGGTCAAATTGGTATTATTATACATTCATACAAGGTCTGAAGATATGACTCCTTTCTAAAGGGTTCCTGGTGAGAATAGGTCCAGAGCAACCTGCATTAGACATATAAGTTGGATAATGTTTAGATGGGTACACATTTCCAGGAATCAGTGCCCTCAGCATCAGTCACTGGATTGTCTGATCCATACTCTGTCTTTACTGGCTGGTATACTGCTGAGTGTGACATTTAACAAAAAACTACAGGAGATACAGTCCTCTCTTGTGATAATGGAAACATGGTTCGCTTAGATTAATCACATAATCCATGAATTTGCTGAAGTCTCCATTGGTACGACTACTTCTGGAAAGACACTGTGACACATGTTGCTCTGCCCGACAGACTGGGGTCCTAGTTTGATAATGCTTGCTGCTTCATCTGTCAGCATGTTCCACCTTGTTTCAGCATCTCCTGGGTGCCGTGAGTCGGGATGTGTGTCGCAACGGTGGCAAGCTGAGTGGGCGACTCCGGGACATGAAGAACAAGGTGCTTAAGGGAAGAGAAGGCCACACAGCAGAGGTGAGGGCAGTCGGTGCTTGCCATCGGGTGTAGATGGACTGGAACTGTTGGCATTCATTTATGCCTCAATATGCATTCAGTTTGCATTTTTGGTGCACCAAGATCTATTCAGTAGATATTTGTTCAGCCTAATAACCTAGTGATTAAAGCGTTCACTATCACATACAAGACCTGGGTTCGATTCCTACGTAGGTACAATGTGTGAAGCCCATTTCTGCTGTCACCACCCACAGTATTGCTGTAACATTGCTAAAAGGGGTGTAATACCATACTCACTCACTCATTCATACAGCAAGATGTATTCAGTAGGCACCATTTCATACAGCAAGATGTTTTCAATAGGCACTTGTTCATACAGAAAGATGTATTCAGTAGGTACTTGTTCATACAGCAAGATGTATTCAGTAGGTACTTGTTCATACAGCAAGATGTATTCAGTAGGCACTTGTTCATACAGCAAGAAGTGTTCAGTAGGTACTTGTTCATACAGCAAGATGTGTTCAGTAGGCACTTGTTCATACAGCAAGATGTATTCAGTAGGCACTTGTTCATACAGCAAGATGTGTTCAGTAGGCACCAGTTCATACAGAAAGATGTGTTCAGTGGGCACCAGTTCATACAGCAAAATGTGTTCAGTAGGCACCAGTTCATACAGCAAGATGTATTCAGTAGGCACTTGTTCATACAGCAAGATGTATTCAGTAGGCACTTGTTCATACAGCAAGATGTATTCAGTAGGCACCAGTTCATACAGCAAGATGTATTCAGTAGGCACTTGTTCATACAGCAAGATGTATTCAGTAGGCACTTGTTCATACAGCAAGATGTATTCAGTAGGTACTTGTTCATACAGCAAGATGTGTTTAGTAGGCACGTGTTCATACAGCAAGATGTGTTCAGTAGAAGTTGAAACCGATATCAGAAATGGACTCTAAAGATGCTAAAGAGAAATTGTGCTGACATAGATGTTTCTGTTTCAGTTGGACTTCAGGACAGCTCAGATAGTTCACCGGCCGCCACTAAGAAGAGAGAACTCCTACGGTGGGACGAAGTCACCAAGTAAGACATTCCACATTCAGTAGCTGAACACAACTTGTAGCTGTATGATAATCTATATATCCCACCCTTAATGCTGGAATACAACTTAACTGTAACAGTTTATGACATTCCACCGTGAATACTTGAAGGCCACATTTATCTGTATGACAATCTAAGATATTACAGGGAAAATACTTCCAACAACTCGAAGATGTATGATTATGATAATGATGTCCTCCTCAACCGAATTCTTCACCATGATGTGTGCTTCAATCACAATCCATATATGTCTATATCAGGCCACTCTAAAGTACAAGCAGGGTAGCTCAGCAGAACCCTTTTGGGGAGCCTAGGTAGAACATGTCCCCAGTACCCTGGAGAGCAACATATAGTCACCCTCTCACTTCAACCTCAGAACCAGAGGCAATAAATGGATGATGATAATACATAGCATTGTTCTTGTAGTCTAGGGGAGATAACTCTAAGAGACAGGCCTTGCACGCTATGTATTGTCCAAGGTTTAGACTAACAAAGCCAATGCTTGAACTATTGACCTTACTTCTGCTGTGTGCACATGTTTGTTTAATCATACAGTAGATGGAGAGGAATAATTTTTGGGAAGCCTTAATTTACTGAATGATTACATTTTATTGAATGCTCTTGTAAAGGAATCCCACAATTCGCAACATGACTAATAATTTTTGTGTTCATCTCTCCCAGTCTACAACAGCCACATCCCAGTCGTCTACCAACCCCAGGCTGCATCCACACCAGACAGGCCAGTGTACGCAACAGCCCCCATCCTGGGGCGTGCCCGTGTCCACACAGACTTTGACCCCCAGTGGAGGGAGGATTTCCTACCCCTGAAGGTGAGCTTCCTGTAACTGTTCTAAACAAGCTGGAAGGTTTCCGGGAGTCTCTAGTTCACAATCTAGCTGAAATATAGGAATTTGGATTGTAACTTGGTTGGATATTGCATTTTTGAATTATTTGGAGATCTGCAAATATTTGCTTTGTGTATATTCCAGAGAGGTGATGTAGTCAACATCATCAGTATGGGTCACTCGGGAATATGGAGGGGCGTGCTTAATGGTAGAGTGGGTAACTTCAAGTTCGCCCATGTGGATGTGCTGGGAGATGATTGGCTGAGGACACAACGCAAGGAGAAACAGTTACGGCGCCATAACTCCCGCAAGTCAAAACCCAAGTCGGTGGAGGAACTTATGCAGAGAATTGGCCTGGAGGTTGGTGAATATTACTACTGTGGGGTGCATACAGACCAATGCTTGCCTCGTATTATTATGGCCACTGTTTTGACAACCAGTATGTGGATGACATGTCAGCTGCTGCCAGATGATTCAGTACCTCATGGCCCCCAGCCAAAGTGTGGTTCTATAAACTGTAAATGTGGGTCGGATTCCTCAACGAGTTTTGGAGCATTATCCCCAATTTTTGCATCCACCAGTGTGATGTTACTGGGTTGATACTAAGTGGAGCATAAACCTTTTTGTCTCTCTCTTGAACTTCATGTCAGGTCCAGATTTAATGCTAAGTGCAATATAGCTAGAATTTGGGGTGAGTAATGTTATGGTTACATCTGTCACTTTTCAGCACCTGACCAGCCTGTTCATGCTGAATGGATTTGAGATGTTGGAGACCTTCTCAGAGCTGGATGAGGATGACTTGAACACTCTGAACATCACTGATCCCGAACAGAAGGCCAAACTCCTGACAGCAGCTGAACTACTGAATGACTGTGATTGTAAGTTGGAAGCTGGAGGTTATGATTGTGGATTTCAGTCCATGAAATACTTGACTGATCAGTCTGGAAGCCAAGTAGACTGAGTGTAGAGTAGAGTTAAGACCAAAGAATCCATGCAATCCATGCAAGGATCCATTAGTTGTAGGTGCATACTGCAGATTACATTGATTGTGTTCCTTGACCTGTTACCCCCATATCCCAGTCATGTTTAATCACTGTCGATGTCTAAACTCGACTCTATTTGATCCTTTCTACAGTGTTAAGCTGAAACTTCTTGATACTTAATGATGAGCAGTTTTGAAGCCAATCAGTCACTCACAAGGTCATGCATTCCTGTATTGCGCGAAACACAGTCTAGATGGAGAGCTGTTGTGGTTTGATGCCAAATATCAGTACTTCCTGTATGCCTGTTCTTCCTAACACGTCAGTTTCTTCCTTGCAGCCCATGATGCCTCCGATGGCCACACTAGAAGTGACCGATCCGGTTCAGGGACCAATTCCTCAGATACACCATCAAGTCTTTCCCCTGCCACTGTCACTGGGGCTGAACATGCTCAGGCAAGGACAGGTAACTCCAGCAGGGACTCTGGATGCTATGCCAGTAATGAACAGTTAATGCTCAAGGATGCTCAAAAACCCCACTCTAGTCAACAGGCAAAGGTTGTCATGACAACATCATCTCAAGTGAAGCCTGTTAACACTGCAGCAGCCCGCTCGGATGCCGACTGCAGTGGTCACATGTGTGGTATGTGTGGTAAGCCCAGGGTTCAAGGTCAGTCACCTCTGCGGGAGGATGAGGGGATGGAAACCGATCGAAGTGATAAGGAATACACGGAGGAAGACAAGGAGGTGTTTGCTATTACTAACGGATATTTGCAACAAAGGACAGGGTCACCTCCTGATAAAAATGGCAAGAATTCAAAGAAGATGAGTGGATATTGTAAACATTGTGTTCATAGTAAAATGTCAAGCAAACCAAAGATGTCACATTCTCCTTCAAGAGGAACCCCCAGTGCTAGCAATTCCTTGTCCTCTGACACAAGCACCAGCACGACCCTGACCTCTATCCACTCCCCAAGTAACCCCAACCTCCAGTGCTCAGTGTATGGCTCAAGTACACAAGCCAGGAGGAAAGTGAAACCAGTGCCACCACCCCGAGCTCCCGGCACCGAGATAACATCGGTCACAACACCAGAATATGCCGCAAGGGACATGTATCCACAAGTCAAGAACCAACGCCCAAAGGACATCAATCCAGGAAGTGTGTATAGTCGCCACCAGATGTCAGTGCCACAACTGCAGATGCCTTTGTCCATGTACTACCCAGAGAGGATTGCCTCCCCTCATGGTAGTGTCGTATATGGCCAAGGCAGGCAGTTAGCGCCTGAACCGATCTATGGTCAGGTGACCATCAAGAACGTCAGTCGGTCTCTCATCCCCCTGGTGTCCACCAAGCTGAGTGCTGAGAAGATTGATCTGAGTGAGGAGCCGTATTCATCTGAGGTAGGTGCAACTTCAAGTCAGTTGAATAGATGAATAATGTTTTGAACCATTTATTTGTATCATTGTGGGATTGTTAACACTGAACATAGGAAAGGTTCATAAAGTATACATGGACAGTCTAAATTTTAAATTTTACGTTTTGTGAGATGTGTTCTCACCAGCTGTAAAATTGAAAATATAGACTCTCCGTGGTTAAACTTGAAATTTTCAGAGAAATTAAATGCTGGATGAAAGGTAGCTGTAACGTTTGCTTATTAAATTCATGACATAAACTTATCTCTCACAGTATTTCTGAAATGTGTTATGTTAGGTGAAGGTATAAAGTAAGTTTGTCTTGCTACAGCTTGGCATGTGTGGCATCCCACCCCTGCTGATCCAGCGGTACGCCGAGGAGCTGAGACAGGACATCAACAGCGTGTCCCTGGTGCTGGAGCAGGTCCGACTCTACCATCTACAGAACCACCAGAGAAACTCTGTAAGTTATACCACAGTCATATCCTCATTGGTTAACGCATTGAAGCATCTGTTCAATATTGTCCAGCTGTGGTATATATACATTGTCCTACCAATCAAACGGTTTAGACCTGTTTGGTTAACGTGTTGATAATTGGTTATAATGTAGATGGATTGACCATGTACTGTTATCCATAAAAACGTGTCATGTATTCATGTTTATCCATCTTCTGAATGCCTTCAAGAACTACTGTTAAGGGGTGAAGTCTGTTGCATGATTGCATCAACGTATCTGCCTTATTTATCATCTTGTCTGACTGCATGTGTGTCTTTCACAGATTCCCAATAACAAATTGGCTGATAGCTGCAGCAATGCAGTAGACCTGAAGATATCTTCCATTGAGGACTTCTTCATCTCCATCGGCCTGCCCATGTACATCGACCCACTGTATGAGAAAGGATGTTGCACTATCCAGCTGCTGCTCAATCTATCAGAGACTGATCTCAACAGGATAACCGGGGCTGATACCCGCCATCTCAAACGCATGCAGCATGCCATTGATTGGGTTCGACATAAATTACAATCACCTGTGAAAAGCCCCAAGTCTCCAACAAAAAGTCCAACATCTGCCAAGCAAGCATCTGTCAGAGATAGAGTTTAAGAACTTTGTATTTTAGACTTTGTTGTGACGTTTTATACACTCTTCCTGCTACCATCTTGAAAACACACCTGAAAGGTCTGACAACAATCTTATATGGGCTTTGAATGTAATCCAGTCTTAAGCTGGGGACTTCTAGCCTTCAAATACATTGGTGGAAACTGGTGGCCCCTTGTGAACAATTCTTGTACATTCAAAGTTGTATATGTGAAGACAGTGAGGTTGTTGGCATGCAGTCATTTGTAAATTGAATTGTTTTTATCATTAATTTGAAATTTTAATGTACTGAAATCTGATGTCAGTATGTGAATAGCTAATACCCTGTATGCATAGATGGTTGTTCACGTGGTGGATATTGCGGGGCATTAAGCTCTTGTCATTTTTAACTTCACATTTTTTAATAATGACCTTCCTGCTGAACATTTTGTGATTTATTTACTCATGCATACAAAATGAGGTTTATTGTTTGAAGGCTGGGAAATTGTGAAGTCTCACAGTTTAATCTCTACACATGTCAATTTTTTTTCTATTTTCTTGTACGTGCATCTGTATGGTACGATTGTATCTTCTCTGCCTGGTCAGTATATCCAGTACAGTGATAGTGCGGTGAGTATGGCATGGTTTACAAACATAATCAACATTTTCTGTGAATAATGTATAATCAGTGGATCATTGATTGTGATTTGTACATTTCTACATTGGCAGTGTGTACATATATCATGGCATTGTATGATTGTGGATGGTGATTACTTCAACACAAGTTCACACTGTTGATTTATCTTCTATAATGCAAGTTAATGCCATCAGTTGGGAATACTAGTTGATGATTGGTGAGGATGAACTGAGGTATGTAATAACAGCTGTGTAATAACAGCTCGGATTGCCCATTGGCATTGTTTGACTTATTACATTGAGGAACAGTTGCTTTAAGTGTAAATAGCGAAGAAAATTTATGTTTAATTGTAATATAGACACTTATTGAATTGTTACAGTCACATTATTCTCATAATGAATTTCTAGTCGGAAAAATGTTACGGCATTTATGCATGATCCTTACGTTCATGAATATTCATCATTTATCCTTGTAAATTGTAGTGCATCTCAGATGAAATAGTGCTTGTTGATTGAATGGCCTGATTGAGAGTTGAGTTCTGAGATGTTGTGATAGTACTGGGATCGCTCAGAAGAGTAATCAGACTTTGTTATGCTGGAGCTGTCATACAGCTGGAATACTGATGAGTGCAAAGTTTAACAACAAGCTTGCACAAACTGTTTTGTAGGGGAAAACTAAGTGCAAAAATACATTTCTTGTACTGTTTTGTGGGGGAAAACGTAAGTGCAAAAATGCATTTGTTGTGCATCGAGTGGAATTTGTATGTGAAAAGCAGGTTACAACCACCCTTGTTTTTTAATGGAAAATAGAAAAATTATGATATTTGTGGACCAGAAACATAATAGTTTTGTTGGGGCATGCCAATGGTTTCATCATCTGGTTGTCTTGAATCTCTAAAGTGAATCTGTGCAACTAGCGTCTTATTACCTACTTGTCTAGTTTTAATCAGATATAGAGGAAAAGAGATCTTAAGGCATTATGAATGATTTTTTATGAATACCTTTCATCCATATTGGTTGTTTTAAGGACTATAAACTGACATTTTAAGTTCAGTTCATGCATAGTATTGTTTCTTTTTATTTCTATTTTGATGAGTTATATTGGTAAGATAAGCATTTATATGTGAACTATACAGGGGTTGAGTTGACAGTAATTTTATATACTATTTCTTAGACACATTATAGTGTGATCATCTAAGAATCAGGCATGGCATTAGATCAACTGTTTAGTGTTTTCATGCGCTCTTAACATTGTAACATTGAATTCCAAATACATTGATCAAACCTCCCAGCAAAAGATACGGATTCTGTTAAACAGGTGTATAGTGTGTCAGATTATTATCTTCTATTCTGCTGAATCTCTCCTTGGTTAGGGACCAGTTATTATGAAGTAGAGAGGAGATGCATGGTTGGATGATATTACAGGCCTTAGAGATGTACTCAGATAAAATAAATAAGTGTTATGTGATGGTTAGGAAACATTGACAAGCATATATATGATGGTTTTACATACGTTGGGTGGTGTCTTGATCTTGGAATTGAAGGGACAAAACATCAAACATCCTTTCTCTTTCCCCTTCTGTTAAATGACTGGCCCCCAATGAGAGATGAACCACTAGACTGTTAACAGATGTATACAAGATGTGATATTTGCTTGTATTCTGGTTGTTGCATAAAACTATGAATTCTCCAATTTAGCCCTGTTGGTAAAGTAGTTGATAGATAGAGAGTAGTGTTTAGTGTAAATGTGAGGCTAATTTATAGACCAGTGGAACTGAACTGTCTGTGCAATATTTAACTGTATTCACTTGCTCCACCTTCCAGTCATAATGGCCCTGCCTTTGTTTGTACTGGGAGCCGGCTGTCATGATTGGTGCTGGATGGGGGATCAGTATTTTTATAATATATTGGACATATTGCGACGGACAGGTGCTTGTCTGTCTCTCTCTCTCCTTGTTGTTCACTCGTTCCGAGAACAGTGTTGGAAATAAACCATTTGAACATACTCAAACTCTTGTGTTATATTCTCTAGTCATGAGTGTCACAAATACATTATTCTATTTATCTTTACATTAAAAGTTTTGATAGTGCATTTCTAACAGTGATGCTTGTAATAATGATTTATCTAGAAATATGTAGGTGATGACTGAAGGGCCTGTGGTTGGGATATACAAGGCCTAAACTCACAGGGGGATGAAGAAGGAACACAGGACTTAATGACTGAATACAGGGATGAGACATTTCAGCAGAACCATGGAATTCTGTGGATTTCATCGCCCCTGGGGTCATTCTTGTGAATTGTCTGAACCTGCAGCCCCCGAGACCTCCGGCTCATTTTCCTATTTTTCCACTCATGCCCATTCTCATCCCTGTCAATAACAAAACAATTGTCAAGCATCTTCATCTCTATATGGCGGAAATAATGCAGATGCAATGTAAAAATTAACCCACTCATCAACAAAGGAATCTAGGGATGTATGACTATATTACACCTCAAACACATACATTAATTTAGGGATGTATAACTGAATAACACCTCAACTGCCAACAGGAATATATTAAGTAATAACAACGATATATATAAGGCAAGACCATAAATCCCCTTTCTTTGATACTAGTCAGTGTATTATCTTCTCCAATGAGTCGAAGGGTTTATGTTATTTTACGTCCGCTTCAGAAGGTTGTTAATCTCTCGTCCTTGGACGCAGCGCATGAGACAATGCCTAGAATGAGCCCCCACCATATTGGTTATAGCACAATCAGGCCCCGATTTCTCGAAACAAACTTAAGTTTTTACTCAAATTTCAAACTGAGTTAGACAATTTGAAACAGATGAATTTTTAACTCAACTGCATTTTTTAAATAAAAAAAAGCCCAAACAACTTAAGTAATCTATTCACCAAACTCAAATTGTCTACTATGTTTGAGTTTAAAATCATCAATTTTAGTTCATTCTGGGAAATGCATTTTCTAAAATTTGAGTGAAAACGATTACTTAAGTCGAAACTCAGACTTAAGTTTTTTTCGAGAAATCGGGACCAGGTCTTTTATTCCAATATATGCACTGCACTTCTACAAGTTGGTGGCAATACCAAAACATACCAGGAATAAGGCTAGACGTAATGCTGACAAAGTTCCTCTGAATTCTGCAGTCACATGCGAAAGGAACGTCTGGTTCATCAACACTCCCTGAAGTCCTCGACATGGCTTTCTGTTCCAAAAGTTACGACATGGCTGTGACCTATTGTCTGTTACCTTGCCTAAAGCCGTCCCTTCCCCATCGAAGGTGACTGCACACTTTTGTCTGTCTGTCTTTGCACCGGGAACTGATCAACACATACGAGGAGCCTGACCTGGCCGGCATATCGACGACATGATTTGAATCAGTCACATGGCATTTTCTGGGTCCTCCTTCCTATACACAATGTCCACAGTGATAGTTCCTATGACCCTGGGACTAACTCCGGCATCGACAAACCTTACAGGAATGAACTTCATCTTCCACATACCATGGATACCTCTCTCTTATCATTCTACGGGTACGTGAACAACATGGTGTTGTCATGAGGTACAACTATATTGGTTGGATTACATGGGAGCTCAACTGGAGGCTAAATAACATAGCTTTCACGCCTCTCGCTTGACGGAAGAGGTTATTTATTTCAGACCCAAGGCCACTATTCCGTGGTCCAACAGTTGTCTTCAGTTACGAGTGAGTAAGTGAGTTTTGTTTTACGCCGCCTTTAGCAATATTCCAGTGTGGCGGGGTACACCAGAAATGGGCTTCCCACATTGTACCCACGTGGGGAACCGAACCCGAGTCTTCGGCGTGACGAGTGAACGCTTTAACCACTAGACTACCCCACCGCTCCTTCAGACACGAGAATATTACCTGATGGGAGCCTGGATCTACCTGTATTAGGTACCCCTTGGCAGTTAGCTGGGACTGCAGTCCAAGTATCGCCATCCACAGGTCCACCAGTGTCAACTGACAGACTTCAAACGATAAACTGACATACGTCTACCATACACAATGAATCGGCAACAGAATACAATGAGAACGCTACCCATAAATAAGTAACAGTATCATAAATATCAGAGTCTGCTGCTGAAAACACACGGAAAGAGCATAACGAAATCACAACCCACAACCTGACAAACTAGACATGCGCAGAACGAAGAATCACACAAGGATTCACCACCAATATATCATGACTGAGCATGTTTGCATTTTCTATTTAAGGGAGAATAGTTCCATTCCCTGACTTCCACAGGAAGATGGCCACGAGAATGGCCATTTTGAGGTCGTTCGGACATGATCTTGCTACACAGACATCAAAGAGCGACATGGTGCGACTCTTGCTTTGTTGAAATGTTTGACAAGGAACATATTATAACATAAATAACCATATTTTTTAATTAAAACTCGGGGTACATGTTTCTGATGACTTTATCTTTCACCCAGCAAATTATTGAAATTGTCTAGTATTCTCCTTTAAGGCTTTGGTGAGGCTTTCAAAGGGTTCCCTGTTTGACATGTGTAGGACTTGTGTAGGACTTGTGTAGGACATGTGTAGGGTCTAGCCTGGCCACCTGATCCCATAGGTCCCCGATAATCATAACGATGATGGCATGCTGAAGACGGATAAGAAAGTCTGATTTCGGTAAAGTATCATTTCACAATTATCGTACGTCAGTACAAACGTAAGCCATGCCTATCACCTTCCAGTGCAAGTGTAAGCCATAGCTAACACCTTCCAGTGTAAGTGTAGGCCATAGCTAACACCTTCCAGTGTAGGTGTAGGCCATAGCTAACACCTTCCAGTGTAAGTGTAGGCCATAGCTAACACCTTCCAGTGTAAGTGTAGGCCATAGCTAACACCTTCTGGTGCAAGTGTAGGCCATAGCTAACACCTTCCAGTGCAAGTGTAGGCCATAGCTAACACCTTCCAGTGTAAGTGTAGGCCATAGCTAACACCTTCCAGTGTAAGTGTAGGCCATAGCTAACACCTTCTGGTGCAAGTGTAGGCCAGCCATAGCTCACCTTCTGGTTTGCTAAAGTGTAGGGCCATAGCTAACACCTTCCAGTGTAAGTGTAGGCCATAGCTAACACCTTCCAGCAACACCTTCCAGTGTAAGTGTAGGCCATAGGCCATAGCTAACACCTTCTGGTGCAAGTGTAGGCCATAGCTAACACCTTCCAGTGCTAAGTGTAGGCCATAGCTAACACCTTCCAGTGCAAGTGTAGGCCATAGCTAACACCTTCCAGTGTGTAAGTGTAGGCCATAGCTAACACCTTCCAGTGTGTAAGTGTAGGCCATAGCTAACACCTTCCAGTGTGTAAGTGTAGGCCATAGCTAACACCTTCCAGTGTGTAAGTGTAGGCCATAGCTAACACCTTCCAGTGGTGTAAGTGTAGGCCATAGCTAACACCTTCCAGTGTAAGTGTAGGCCATAGCTAACACCTTCCAGTGCAAGTGTAGGCCATAGCTAACACCTTCCAGGTGTAAGTGTAGGCCATAGCTAACACCTTCCAGTGTAAGTGTAGGCCATAGCTAACACCTTCCAGTGTAAGTGTAGGCCATAGCTAACACCTTCCAGTGCAAGTGTAGTGTAGTGTGTAGGCCATAGCTAACACCTTCCAGTGTAAGTGTAGGCCATAGCTAACACCTTCCAGTGCAAGTGTAGGCCATAGCTAACACCTTCTGGTGCAAGTGTAGGCCATAGCTAACACCTTCCAGTGTAAGTGTAGGCCATAGCTAACACCTTCCAGTGTAAGTGTAGGCCATAGCTAACACCTCACCTTCTGGTGTGCAAGTGCCATAGCTAACACCTGTCTGTGGTGCAGTGTAAGTGTAGGCCATAGCTAACACCTTCCAGTGCAAGTGTGTAGGCCATAGCTAACACCTTCCAGTGTAAGTGTAGGCCATAGCTAACACCTTCCAGTGTAAGTGTAGGCCATAGCTAACACCTTCCAGTGTAAGTGTAGGCCATTCACAGTGTAAGTGTAGGCCATAGCTAACACCTTCTAGTGCAAGTGTAGGCCATAGCTAACACCTTCCAGTGTACAAGTGTAGGCCATAGCTAACACCTTCCAGTGTAAGTGTAGGCCATAGCTAACACCTTCCAGTGTAAGTGTAGGCCATAGCTAACACCTTCTGGTGCAAGTGTAGGCCATAGCTAACACCTTCTGGTGCAAGTGTAGGCCATAGCTAACACCTTCCAGTGTAAGTGTAGGCCATAGCTAACACCTTCCAGTGCAAGTGTAGGCCATAGCTAACACCTTCCAGTGCAAGTGTAAGGCCATAGCTAACACCTTCCAGTGTAAGTGTAGGCCATAGCTAACACCTTCCAGTGTAGGTGTAGGCCATAGCTAACACCTTCCAGTGTAAGTGTAGGCCATAGCTAACACCTTCCAGTGTAAGTGTAGGCCATAGCTAACACCTTCCAGTGTAAGTGTAGGCCATAGCTAACACCTTCCAGTGTAAGTGTAGGCCATAGCTAACACCTTCCAGTAGCTAACACCTTCCAGTGTAAGTGTAGGCCATAGCTAACACCTTCCAGTGTAAGTGTAGGCCATAGCTAACACCTTCCAGTCAGTGTAAGTGTAGGCCATAGCTAACACCTTCCAGTGCAAGTGTAAGCCATAGCTAACACCTTCCAGTCAGTGCAAGTGTAGGCCATAGCTAACACCTTCCAATCAGTGCAAGTGTAGGCCATAGTTAGCACCTTCCAGTGCAAATGTAAGCAATGCTTAACGCCTTGAACTAAGATCAGGGTGACCTGACATATGTGTCACAAGCTCCCAGAGCGCTCATCGGAACGTTGACTCTGGATCAGCATGTCTCAATCAGAGTTAAGGATCAGAAGCATCATTTAAGAAATGTCTAAACACAGTTAAGTTGTATCAGTGTAATGTAGTCATGATAAAATATATTTGGTTAAGGATTGTACACACACACTGTACCCATGTGAAATCAGGTGGTGAATCGAACTAGGGTCTCC